ATCTTTTAGGCAATTTTCTCTGTTCTTTATATTTTTGTCCATTATTCACTTCTTTATATTTTAGCACCCCAGTATTCTCTATTATTAATTTTTGGGGCCTATATTTCTCTACTCTTTATTCTTTTAGCCAATTTTTCTGTGGTATTGGCCCATTATCCTAAATTCTGAAAACCCCATCCAGACCCTCATACATGACCTTTTTTGGCAATGGAGTGTTGGTTTTCACAATCTAATCCGACTGTTGGGAGGTTCACAGGAGAGGTACTTAAACTATTTGTTTATAATCACACTAGCATTTTGGCTGTGGTGATGGTATAAGGGGTGGTTCTTAAACCTTTGGTTTACAATACACTGGGCACTTTAATTGGCTGTGGTGATGGTATAAGGGGTGGTTCTTCAACCTTTGGTTTACAATACACTGGGCATTTTGGTTGTGGTGATGGTATAAGGGGTGGTTCTTAAACCTTTGGTTTACAATACACTGGGCACTTTAATTGGCTGTGGTGATGGTATAAGGGGTGGTTCTTCAACCTTTGGTTTACAATACACTGGGCATTTTGGCTGTGGTGATGGTATAAGGGGTGGTTCTTACACCTTTGGTTTACAATACACTGGGCATTTTGGTTGTGGTGATGGTATAAGGGGTGGTTCTTTGGTTTACAATTTTGTCTGAGGTGATGGTATAAGGGATGGTTCTTAGTTGGTTTGCAAAACACTATAGTTATGCCACTTATTTTAGATATGACTGATTCTGAAAAATATTAGGACATCATTATTGGTTACAACTGGCTTATTAACTAAAGTGAAGATTCTCCAATAAAATTTCCTTCGAGGTGTTTGTAATACTAATCGAAGGTGAATTTCTGAATCAAAGGTTACAATTTTGAAGGATTATGAATTCAGATGTAGATTAAATCCCTAGAAGAATCGAAAAAAGACATTGAAATTTAGATTTTGCTGCTCTCATTCTAAGCATATACCATTTAGAAGTAAGAGCACAGATGTCTCAGTGACTGGTGAAATGTCATCTTGCAGACTATAACATTATGATTTTTGTACCATAGATTTAGAACAACACAAAGTTCTTATTCATTTCAAATTCAGTAAATGGTAACATAATAGAAAAACAGAGGATATGGGGTATCCATCCATAACACAAAATTAATTACATGCACAGCAAAAAAACATACAAAAAGCAAAGGAACATGCAGCTCTTTTATTGCTGTTCTTCATCTCAAAGTTACAGCGAGGCCTTCAACATGGAGAAAAATAAATGGAGACTGTGTCTATGGGCCACAGATGCCACCGCTTGTAAATATGCATGAGTCAACTTCCACATACAGATGCAGGATTCACATAAGCATTGTGTATAAGTTTCATAACATTTGGTTGAGGCAAACTAAAGTAAGAGAACGGAAATGTAAAATTTTTCCATTTATAATGGGCCATAACTCAAGAACGGTAAAAGTGACGCCACCCAATTTCAAATTTGATCTGTGTTTTGTGGTAACATGCATTGTGTATAAGTTTTATAACATTTGGTTGAGTCAAACTAAAGTAAGGGAACATGCAGAAACGAAAAATTAAGAAATGTTTATGTTTATAAAGGGGCATCTCATGAACAGTAAAAGTGACGCCACCAAATTTCGAACTTGATCTGTGTTTTGTGGTAATAAGCATTGTATACAAGTTTTATAACATTTGGTTGAAGCAAACTCAATTTAGAGAATGGAATGAATAAACTGCTTCGCTGAGCGCAGCTAGGTACGCCCGCAGAGGTCCAACCCTGAACAGCTGGGGCAAAAATGGACACAATATTCAAGCTTGATTCAGGTCTGAATTTGGATTGTAATTAAATATTTGACATATAGGTTTCTGAATAAATGTAGTCAAAGAACTTGAAATTGGTTATATGAATTGAATTTATATTCAATTAAAGATTTCTTGCTGTTGTGCAATACTTAGTAATTCTGTTGTCAGACTGTAAACAAATAAAGTTCAATTAATTCTCAATGTCATATTAGAAATTTATGAAAATAAAAAGGGAGCTTACATCAATAGATATAAACAATTCACCAAAGTTTCATGAGAATTGGTGACAGCATTTTTGAGTCCGAAAACTGGAAAATCACCCCTTTTTTTAATGAATAAAACCCCACAACTCAGAAATGTAAAATGTAAAATTTATATAAAATTCTAAAGGGAGCTTACATCAATACATACAAACAATTCACCAAAGTTTCATAGGAATTGCTGAAAGCATTTTTGAGATTTTGTCCGAAAACTGGAAAATCCCCCCTTTTTTTATGAATAAAACCCTGTAACTCGGAAACATAAAATCTAAAATTTATAAAAATTTAAAGGGAGCTCATGTCAATAGATAAAAACAATTCACCACAATTTCTTGCAAGTTGGTGAAAGCATTCTTGACTTATTGTCCGAAAACTGGAAAATCCCCCTTTTTTTAATGAATAAAACCCCACAACTCAGAAACGTAAAATCTAAATTTTATAAAAAACGAAAGGGAGCTCACGTCAATAGATATAAACAATTCACCAAAGTTTTATGCAAATTGGTTAAAGCAGTTTTGAGTTAATGTCCGACATGTTGACGACGGACAGACGGACGGACGGACGGACAGAGGAATACCATAATACGTCCCGTAAACGGGCGTATAAAAATTCAGCAATTTTTTATGTTTATAAAGGGGCATAACTCTTGAATGGTAAAAGTGACGCCACCCAATTTCGAACTTAATAATGGTAATAAGCATTGTGTATAAGTTTATAACGTTTGGTTGAGGCAAACTAAAGTTAGAGAACGGAAACCAATTTTGGGGACGTACATGACGAACGGACAGGACAAGGGTAACACTTAATGCCCCCTCCGTTACGGTCGGGGCATAAAAAACTCTTACCTCACTGCAAGTTAAAGATGACCCCTAGCACTGGTTTGAGTGGAATTCTTTGCAAAATAATTTGGGTCGACTTTTTTAATATGTTTTGGCGTCTTGAACATGCATGAAATATTTGCCACCGGAAGTAAAGCAACCAACAATTAATTAATCAGAATATAGTTGAAAAGCTCTAAATTGACGACTCGTGTGAATTTGTAGTTTTGTAAGGATTTATGGCTTGTTGCAATTTGTATAACCTTTTGTGAAACAGGCCTGTACATTCCTAAATCTATTTTATTCCTGCCAAAGTAGGACAATGTCAAACAGACCTAAACAATTACACACAGTTACAACATGCCCTTTTCACATTGGGGTAACACATGTATTATTGTTCTTTACATTTTACATTTGAAAAAAAAACCACCTAAAACTTTAAACCCATACCTTCTTGCATTTATTCACACAAACAATGCAATAATTCCACTAGAAAGCAGTTTCTGGAATAATAAGTAACTAAGCAATTCCAATCAACATACGTGTGTACTGTATAGGTTGAAAATGACTGACCAATGAATTTTAAAGTAAAAACTTCTTTCTTTAACTGGCATAGGTAAGTAAGTATGGTACCTGCAGATAACAGCCTGTTAATATATAATGAACTGACAGTAAAATGTCTGTGAACAAGTGGTTAATAGATTTTCTGAGGGTAAGAATTTTACTTAGATTTTGATTGATCGATTTTTATTTGCTAAAGGATAATGTATCCTTTTGTGGTTTCAATGCTAAACATATTGAAAATCCACAGCCTTCCCCCTTGTACTCCCATATTTGACAATACAGTGCTTAATAGATAAATATAATAAAAGAAGAATGTGTCTGAGGGCACAAATACCCCCTCTCAAGCTTTGAAATTTTCCAAGTTAAAAAGGGCCATAACTCTTGGACGGTGACTCATTGTCCAAATTTGAACTCTCTCTCTGTGAGTTTTGGTTCTTAGCATTGTGTAGGAGTTTCATAAAATTTGGAGGAGGAAAACTTACTGGTAAGTAAGGGTGCAGAAACAAAAAGATTTGCAAATTTCAAAGTTATAAAGGGGCATAACTCTAGAATGATAAATGACTCACTGCCCAAATTCGAACTTTGTTTGCAAGTTTTGGTTTTTAACATTGCGAGTTTCATAAAGTTTGCATAAGGAAAACTTGAGTTAAGAGTGCTTAAACGAAAATGGGACGGACGGACGGAAAGACAGGACAGAAGGTCAAGGGTAACACTTAATGCCCCCATTGCCTACGGTGGGGGCATAAAAAAGATATCGATTATTATAAAATTGTACTTATTCAAGTACTCCTTCTAGGGTGCGCTCGACTTTAGTGGCTCAGCATGAGGTTGTTTGGATTGTAAAGGTTGTTTAGGACTTTTTGTTAACAATAATTGTAGCACATCATGGACAAGCAAGAGAGTAGTCTATTTTTACCATTTTATAACGAAAATCTCTGTAATAAAGTCTTGGCTTGATTTGCCACCAAATTCCTATTTTCTATTAAACGCAAAGAAACATTTAACAGTATTGCATTGAACATACATGTACAAAAAGGCACAACACTTCTTATTCTGTATTTTTACTGTTTTGATATTGTAGCACTTTGAAAATTTTGTAATACACAGGCCTACAGAAGGGGTCATCAACCTTAATATACAGTGGCAGGTATTTCATGCATCAACCTTAATATACAGTGGCAAGTATTTCATGCATCAACCTTAATATACAGTGGCAAGTATTTCATGCATCAACCTTAATATACAGTGTTTCATGCATCAACCTTAAGATACAGTGGCAAGTATTTCATGCATCAACCTTAATATACAGTGGCAAGTATTTCATGCCTCAACCTTAATATCCAGTGGCAAGTATTTCATGCATGTTAAGGACAAGAACTAACAAAACAATTAATTTAAAAAAAAAAACAGTTTATTAAAAAGAACAAAAAAACTTTTAAAAGTTGCCATTGGATTGGAAGTTTTGTTCATCGTAAAAGTGGCAACTTCAACTTGATAGGGAGTTTGACTGGAATTAAAAGACTTGAGGTGTAAATAATTAAACAACTTTTTTCTCTCTGTATATATAACATTTTATTTATATAGATTTGTAATACTACTAAAAAACAAAGTAGATGTAAATAAGTTCAAACATATAACAGTAACATACAACCCTGCAAAAAATATGTAACAAAAAGTGTTAATTTACAGCCCATGTAAGCCTCTTGTTACCAAGAAAATGTCTTATTAATAACCAAGTTAGGTTTCCTTTTGAAAAAAATCATTAAAGGTGTAAATTATGCTTATAGAACATGTTGGCCGCTGCCAGGGAGAAAATGTGTAGATTATGTGGTCAAAATGCTGCTTGTATAAAACAATGATGTCAATAGATTAAGGTAAGCCTCTTGTTGAAAGGGAGATAATTTGATATGCAAGTGAAAAATAAAAACAGAATTTTTCTTCACAAGATAATGGTTGGATAACATTTTTAACTTATTTAAGTAGTTTTTTCATAAAATTTGTTCATCATTACCTCTAAACAAATTTATTATGCATTTTGTTTTTTATTTTTAACTAGATGAATAAAATGCCTACTTGTGCTATTTTTCAGATCTGCTGTTTTTAAAGATAACATTGCTGGAATGTTGAAATTATTAATTGCATATGGATACATAATGCATATCTGGAATGTTCTGTTAAAAAAGCATTGTTAAGCTGTATGCACTTGTTAAAAAAAAATTATTTTAATACAAAGTGCCCATACTAAGATAAAATACATGTGAAAAATACTTTACTTTGTTCTTTTCTCTTATAACGGTCTATTTACGTAGCAAATTAAGCATAGCACAAAAAATAGGATTCGTATGTAACCTTCACATCTTAGTAATAAAAAATGCAATACTTGTGCAGCTATTTTTTCAATGCTGGTTAAAGCGTAAGCATGGAATGACACATTTATAGCATCAAACACCCTTTGTCTAAAATACCTCGTTACACATCATAATAATTCAACTTGTAAATCATTTAAATGCTTCAGTGGCTATATTTCTGTAAACCAACTCATTGTAGGAGATTCTTTTTTCACTTTTAGTCCTTTCTAGCGAATTTCACTACAATTTATTTTCAGATTTTCTAACTTAGTTGATGTATTGATATGAGATAAGATCAGATTTTCACATATTTGTGACAATTTATTTTCGCAAAAGTCTTGAAAATTTGTTAAACTACAGTATGTCATTTCTCACTTTCTTCTTTTCTTATAAAATATCTACTCTCAAGAATCTTTATTTGTCAATTTCTTCCTTTCTGAGCTTTCATATAAAATATCTACTCTCAAGATTCTTTATTTGTCAATTTCTTCCTTTCATTTAAAATCTACACTCAAGAATTCAGCTGAAGCATTGATACATATATCTAAAAAAATGTGTACATACACTTAAATGTGCGCACATAAAACAAACATGTTTGATTTTGACGTTTGGAATGTAATAATTGTTATTGCACAAAATGATATGATTGTAATGAAAACGTAATGCTCTTAAATTTAAAGATATGTTTGAGATTCCAGATAACTACAGCTGTCAGTTTCTTTACAAGTAAAAGAGGGCATTGACCACTTAGTGACCAAATACTGATTCTAAGTACAATGTGGCAGAAGTGAAAGTTTGGATATAGATCTACTTTCTAGGAAAAGCGCTAAACGATTCATTTACCAATAGTAGCAAAATACCCTGTTTAAACTTATTGTTTAATAAATGCATTATTTTTCAAAGTAATGAATACTAATTTTCATCAAATTACTAGCAGGCATGAGGCTTATGAAATATGTCATTTGTAAATTATTTCCCAACTTCATTCAGGAGAAAAAGTGGTCAGAATTGGGAGAAAAACCAATAATTTATGCATGTAATCTAATTTCAGGATTTTATTTCAATATGTAATTTCATAAAAATCTTTATCACTTTTGATATAATTGCTCAACAAATATTTAATTGCAAAACAAGTTTAATTTAACTTCAATACCATATTGCTAAAATCTTCAAAATTATTTTTCCCCATTTTATTATTTTGTCAAAAAATATATAAAAACAACATTCTTAGAAAGACTTAGTTACATAGAATAATAAGATATTTTGTTATTTAAATATTTGCATATATGTTGTATATATATATATAACATTCAACAGAAATAACAATTCATAAAAAGATGTACTATAGAAAAGTAACAAAAACATCACAAGTTTGAAAAATAAATTTAGATATGTAATATAAAGCAGACAAAAAGTCCTTTTTCCCTTAAAAACCACATAAATCTATTATTAGTACTTCTTCATAAATTAAGGTATATAATAAAACTTGAATATGATATGAAAATACAAATCAAATTTTGTAATGTCAAAAAATATGGACACATTCATAAAAAAAAACACCACTAAAGCACTTTTATTTCTACCTTGCATTGATACAAGTAAAAAGCAATTGTGTACGCTGTATAATCAATAATACTAATCCATTCCTTCACATAGTTATCTAACCTGAAGTCAGACCTGCCATCTTTCCCACTTTATGGGGGATATCCCCCATGAGAGGTGTTGACCTGACCCCTTATAAAACTCAAATATTTAGACTAAATACTTTAAAAAAGGCATTCAGAGGAGTAAAAAATACATTTTTAACACCTGTATACTCATTCAAAACCATAGATGTTCTAATTTATGTATAGGTATGCATTAGGTCCTTTTGTGCCTTAAAATCCCCCATGGCGATTTTGAGAAGTTGGCAGGTATGTGAAGTGTGAATCCTATATAACACTGTTTAAACCTTCATAAACTATGCTTTCACTATTATGGAACAATTTCAGTCCACTGGATCCCTGTTCTGCTTCTTGTCGATAGGGCCAGGGATGGTAGAATTCACATGACCAGCTTTCAGATCTAAAAGGACTTTAGTTATTGCATGAAAGCCTGGAACACTTTTATTTGGGCTATAATTTCGGCCATAAAGCTTACAAGCTTTAGCTATGTTTTGCTTCAGTCGTATCTATTATAAAACTTGCATTTAAAGAACTCTGTCTAAGTTATCTGTGCTTAACTTTCTTGATGAATTAAATTTCTGAAAGCTGAGTTTTTTATAGGTCTTACTGGAAGCTTAAGTTTCAAAAGGAATTATCTAAAGCGCCTGTTATTTTAACCAAAGTTAGGTATTCATCTTAACTGAGGGGCAGTAGGAGGGGAGTGTGATCCTGAATTCCTGAAAAATTAAAACATCCTCTCCCGGATCTTTCATTCCCGAGTCACAATAGAAGGCCCAATCCTGACGTCCTGAAAAAGGGCCTTAACTGTAGGAAACAAATAAAAGGTTGCATAAAAATAAGATCTGCATTTTAATACAGAAAAACTACTTCATAAGTACTAAGTGATTTAACATTATTGCTATCCAGATACTGAATTATGGGTAATGAACAAATTTGAAAACATGATTAGGTTGGTTGAATTTGTCACATGACCAATGAAAAACATGATAACAATCTGGATTACAGTCAGTAAACAATATCCCATAATCCCAAGCAGTTCCTGGAAAATTTGAGTGAGCATGATAATTTAAAAAATTCCAAATTTCTTCTTTAATTCTTGTTGCTTCCATTGTGGTTTTGTAACAAAATCTTGGTATTTCATTTTAAATAGTCTATCAAAGTCTTCTGGACTTAAGTGGATCTGAAATAAACAAAACATTTTAAAAAAATATAATGAAATATTTCTTAAGTCAACACGTTAAATATTTTCTCAGCACACTTGAGATTCAATAGACAAAGTATACGTAATTGGGGGATCATTTGGATTTTGATGAAATTTTGTATGCATTTAGAACTTGTTAATCTGCATCTGAATATTTACAAATAATATGATTTGTTTAGCCTTTACCATGTTTATAATTCCAAAGATACCGTAAATTTAAATTTGTGAAAAAGGTTTATAAATGTATAGAATGTATGTAAAAAAAAAGAGAAACTGCGAGCTACTGCTCACTGATGATACCCCCAGCCCAAATACTTGACGGTAAACAGGAAGTTGTTTAGTGATGAATCTGAAAACGCATCACATGGTATAGCCGACTTATATAAACACTGAAACCAAATTTCAGAAATCCTTGTAATGTAGTTCCTGAGAAAAATGTGAAAATTTTCAACTTTGATGTCACGTGTAAAATGATATTAATGTAGGTAAACAGGAAGTTGTTAAGTGATGAATCTGAAAACTCATCACACAGTATAGCTGACTCATATAACCCCGGAATCCAAATTTCAGAAATCCTTGTAATGTAGTTCCTGAGAAAGATGCAACGAAAAATATTCATTGGACAGATGGACAGACAGACAAACAGAGGTAAAACAGTATACCCCCCTTTTTTAAAGCGGGGGGTATAATTATACATATACATTTTTTCAATTTAAATTGCATTTGTCAAAAATTATTCATATGCATTTTTTCAATTCAAATTGCATTTGTCAAAAATCTGAAACAGTAAAACAAGTAAAGTTCTAGATGCATACAAAATTTCATCAAAATCCAAAATTATGTTTCCTTTGCCTTAAAGATATTACTGGCATTCCTGGCCTTAGTTTTCTATATTGGTATCTAGTCGTATGTATATTCACAATGATCCTATACAGAAATACTGTAAACCAATTTATTTTTGATGATACCTACATGTATCTTTACATTTAGTCCTCTCTAGCTGACTTTGCAGCCATTCATTTTCACAATTTTCTTTTTTTCTTCATGAATGTATATAGGAAAGATCCAAGTGTACATATTAGCGACGATTTATAATCATGTTATTTTTCTACTCACAAAAGTTGCCAAAAAAAAAATCCCTCACGAAAATTAGTTGGTTTACAGCAGTTTTGAATATCTTTTATATCATGGGAACAACACTATTGAAAACATTTCTGTTTAGATAAAACATCATTTCAGAGGACACTGAGGTTACAGAATGTTATTGATGTTGAATTTATGAATTGGCCCATTTAACAACTAAAACATTATTAACAAATCTATTTATAGACACATACCTCTTTACATGAAGGGTCCACACCATTTGGAAGTTCTTCTGCTGACACAGCTAATTGTTCTAGGGGGTATTTAGGTACAGAATCATAACTAAATTCTCCGTTGACATCAGCCTGAAACAAGAAGATCAAACATGCTAAACTTAACTACATATCACAGCAGTATAATAGGGTCTGGTTCTGGGCTCTTCAATTTCTGTATTCTTTAATTTTTAGGCCACTTTTCTCCACTTTGTTTTTGCCCATCATTCTCTATTCTTCATTTTGATTGCCCATCATTCTCTATTCCTTACTTTTTTTGCCAATTATTCCTTATTCTTTATTTTTTTTGTCAGTTATTCTCTATTCTGTATATCCCATTCAGACCCTCATATTAGTACTGATATTCTTACAGGTCAAACAAGTGAATTTGTGAGCTACTGCTCATTAATGATACCCCTGCCCGCTAAAAGTATAAGGTAAACAGGAAGTTGAGTGATGAATCTGAAAACGCATCACTAATATAAACCCTGAAAACAAATTTCAGAAATCCTTGTAATGTAGTTCCTGAGAAAGATACGACGAAAAATATTCATGGGATGGATGGACGGACTGACGGACAGACAGAGGTAAAACAGTATACCCCACTTTTTTGAAGCGGGGTATAATAACAGAAGTAAATATAAAATATTTTTGTCTATTTTCCTTTAAAGGTTTTCATATCAGGCCTAAAAAAGTATATACTTGTTTCCTACCTCCTGACAGAAGATAAAATAGGGAAGGTAGGTCCTACCTCCTGGCAGAAGATAAAATAGGGAAGGTAGGTCCTACCTCCTAGCAGAAGATAAAATAGGGAAGATAGGTCTAGGAGTTTAAATGATTATATTCTTAGATATTTTACAAAGATTATAAAGGGAAATGTTCTGAACTTCAAAAGAGTTTGATAAATCCAAAGTTTCTTTGCAAATAGCATTTTACCAATTGTGTAATTTGTTGTGACAATCTGCAATTTTACATTCGTTTGATGTGTTTGAGCTTTTGATTTTGACATTTGATAAGAACTTTCCATATTGAATTTTGCTTGGAGTTTAGTATTTTTGTTATTTTTCTTTTTACTGCATTCATCAATGAATTTTTTCAGTGGACAACATCAAAAGAGGCTCTGTAAGGTATTATTTATATATAGAAAGAGGGTCTTAATGGGACTACTTACTGCTTTCACTAATGTCAAGGCTTCATTTCCATCTCCTAAATGTTGCATTAATTCTTGGTATGATTGTCCTTTCTGAAAGAGAAATTGAATTAAATAAACTTTGATTTCTAATTCTAGCAAATTCATTACAAGGGCTGTTGAAGTGAGCTCATATGGACCTATCTTCTACAGGAGTACATTGATTATATATCTATATATCCTGATATGTCTGATTTACTGCTTAAAATTTCAATGTTTTAAAGTATTAAGCTGCAAAATATGATACTAGAATGTGTGTTGTCTCATTTCCCATCTTCGCATTATTTGTGGCCCCTCATGGGGGTGTCCAAGTAATCACATAATCACATTTTTTTGCCAATATAATCACATAATCATTAATCATTTTTTAAAACAAGATAATCAAATAATCAAAAATAGTCCTATATAATATCAAATACTCAAATAATCATGAAATGTTTGGTCTGGTAATCAAATAATCACTATAAAAACGGCCAAGTAATCACATAATCAAAAACCCCATGAGGAGGCTCTTATTTGCATGCAGCATTTCCTAGAATTATAATACAGCTCCAATGTTCAACAATAGCAATAATAAATACAAGCAAAATTTCTGAATTTACAGTATGGGTATTTGATGATATACTGTAAATTCAGAAATTATTCCTAGGTTTTTATTGTAGCCAAAAATGTGATTGGGTGAGTATCACAATAATAAACATCTATTCATGTGAAGTATAAATACATTATCTCATCATCAATTTGTTTTTAAATAAAAATATCTGATATTTTTGTTACTGTGAAAATAAATCAAGCAAATCGTATCATCAGATCTGCCAACCTTCATGATTTCTGGGGATTTCCCCATGAGAGGTGTTGACCTGAATTTTGAAAAGCTTGATTTTATAAATTGTACACCTCAAAACAGGCATTCAAATTAGGTAAAAGGGTATTTAAGCACATACATACTCATTCAAACAATATAGTAGTAGATCAAAAATACTTATGGCAATATAAGAACAGCATTTGGTCCTCTTGTGTTTAAAATCCCTCATGGAGATTTTGAAAAGTGGGCAGGTATGTATAATATGATGAATACTTACACTCCACATATCTCTGTCCCATAATCCAAAAAATCCTGTAAAAGTGGGTGGTTCCATTCCTTGTTTCACCATATACATAGGTGTGTCTGGGTCCCTTCCTGCTGGATCTGTATCTATATATTCCTGAAAAAGGTACCAGATTTAAATGGATGATACCACTTATTTGATCTTGGGAGTATATATGGATTTTATAATTTTTATACGCCAGTAACTATGTTTGGAACATTTTACTTCAAACTATACACTGTTGTTAGGATCAATAAAAGTAAACTTGCCTTTGACTTCAGAAATTCTCTAATTTGTTTTTCCAGAGTTGTAAGACTTTTGGAATGTCACTTTAAGGCAACTTTTATACACCTAACGATATCTTCCTGCAAGTTTTTCTTATTAAACTGGAACTGTCCGCATAGTGGGACTAATAAATCTTGACCTTCATACCTGTGCTAGTCTTGCCGCCTCTTTCTTCTCTTGTTGATTGGCACCACTTCCAATCCAGATATAAACACTATCCCACACATCTAATATCATTACATCATCTTCAACTAAATCTGGCTGTAAATACAACAAAATACATTACATCATATTCAAAATTGTCCTAATTTCTTAAAATCCAATAAAAATCAACTATATATAATTTTAAAATATTTTTACTGGTAAGAGTTCAATGATTAATGAACATGACTATTGACAATAAACAATGGAAGTTGATAAATTATGAAAATGAAAACACATATCACAGTAAAGCATGCTCACATGAAGTCGGTATAATATTTCAGGATGCTCTTATTTGTAGTTGCGTAGAAAAGTGTGACTCAATTTCATTAGAGGATAGACAGACAGAAATCATTATACCCCTCCTTTCAGCAAAAGGGGGGGGGGGAATTAAATTGAAAATGATAAATAAAATAAAATAGGAGGGCATCAATTTTGAGTTGCAGATAAGGATGAAGATATTGTTTTAAATAGACTCTGACATCAGAAAACAAAATAATGTTCTATCAATTTGTTAACTTAAGACAAACAGATTTTGATCCATAGTGTTATTTCTTACCTGTGCAAAATCTGGTATTTCATCACAGGTAAATTTACCTGCTGCATTTGACAATTGAAATAATCTAGCAGGATGTCCACTGTCAGGTTCCTGAAACAGACAACAGTGTAATTTTGACACTAAAATATTTTGATTTAATAACTTTCAGTAAAACTGGTTAAAAAATTAAATACATCAAAAACCAGATGAAGTGATATTTTGACAGCAGATATTGAAAAATTGGAAATTTTTGCAATGTTCTTATTACTGCTAAAATTTTCAAGGGATAGGTTAAATTTGTAAAAAAACAAAAACTAACATTTTAAAATTTTGTTAATGTAAATCGTGCAATAGCCCCCTCAACCCCACCCACCCATTCAGTATGGGTTAGTGTAGGATGGGAGAAGTCCAGTGACTGTATTCCTGTACTGTTTGTGCTGTCAAATCACACTATAAAGTGATGTGACTATAACTCGTTATTTAATGAGTAGGAACTAATTTATTTTCTCTTACACTTAAACTTATACAAAATTTCTCTGTAAAGGTACAAGCTTTGTAATTCACTCAAGCATAACTCTATTATTAAAGTAGATACCAGCTTAGAGGTTTGTCTAGTTTTCTAGTCCAGCAATAAACATTTTACACAGTGATTCTAAAAATCATTCAAAAATGAAAGAAATGTGAAGGTGGCTTTATGATCCCCTGTTATATATGTACCTGTAATCTTTTATCACTAGAGTATGGTTTTTTTCCTCCCAAACAGTTCCAGAAGTCCTCCTTCTCTTGACCCTCAAATACCATTGTAGGATTTCTAAATAATAAATCACATATTTATAAACAACAGTCAAATTCACCATTCATAGTTGTTGTCTAATCCTAAATCAATGGTATTTAATAGCATCTGCTTAAATTACATAGTAAATTGGTACAAGTGTATGGAGATACATTTTGACTAGTAGTGACTAATCAGTGACAGTGTAAATCAGTCTTTTGAGCAGCTGCACAATTGTTTTTTCCTGCAATGTGTAAACTACTGTAAACTAACTAATTTTCGTGAGCAATTTATTTTTGCGACTAGTTAAATAACGTGAATAAAAATTGTTGCAAATCTGTAAAAGTTATATCTTCCCTTATATAAATGCATCGAGTCAATCTAAAAATGGCAAAATTAAAACCCTGCAAAATGGGCTAGAAAGGGCTAAACGCGAAAATAAAGTTAGTTTACAGTATTTCTAAATCTTTCGTTCATCATGAAATGGCTATTTTACTTCTTGTTTGTCCATTCACATATACCCCTCTTTTGACTTCGGTTGTTTATTTATCATAAGGAGTACTAAATTAAGAAGCTTTGTCATACCTTGGAGAAGCACTTGCTATTCTCTTAGCCATCTCTCTCTCATCTCCTGTACTACCCTACAAGATTAGGTAAAATAATATTCAGAACTTAAACTAATTAAAATTTTCCCTAAAAAAATACTTGCTCTATATATTAATTATCTGCATGGCAGCTAGTGAATTGGAACCTATTTTTTAATATGAATTTCTTTAATGGGGTCCAAATTCTAATTTGGCGTATAATTTAATTAGCTGACATCATAATGAACATATATTAATAATTTTATTAACCAATCAATGTGCCTTTGAAGGGCAGATTAATTACAATGTAATCATTCATGATATAAGAAACAAACAAAACAGTAAATTACTATGACAATAATGGATTTTTGAAATAATAATTATATTGATTGTAAAATCATAAAATAGAAATGTCAACATTAATGTATCCATAAATTATTTTTTATTGTTGTTCAGTGGTTGTCGTTTGTTGGTGTGGTTCTTAGGTGTTTCTCGTTTTTTATATAGATTAGACCATTGGTTTTCCTGTTTGAATTGTTTTACACTAGTCATTTTGGAGCCCTTTATCGCTTGCTGTTCGGTGTGAGCCAAGGCTCCGTGTTGAAGGCCGTACTTTGACTATAATTGTTAACTTTTTATAAATTGTGACTTGGATGAAGAGTTGTCTCATTGGCACTCATACCAAATCTTCTTATTTATATAAGTTTCAAGTTGATGTGACCTCAACTTCATGGTAAACTACCTTAACCTTAAACTTTAACTTGATATGGGACAACATATAAACAGCAGGATGCACAGACCAGACAACATAATGCCCTTCTACTATTGTAGGCAGGGCATAAACATTTCACTATAGTAAACTTACCTTTCCTGACCAGATATATATAGCTTTCTTAGAGAATATTACAAAAACATCATTAGAGTTGAGTGATTCTGCATCTAAGTCAACTTGAACTGCTTTTGTGTTCAGTGGATTTGTACCTCGTACTTGTAACATGTACGTGTCACCAGGACCGTTCGTGCTCTTTTCTCCATTTTCCCAACCAGCTTTTCCTCCCTGAAATTGAAATGAAAAATAAAAGGTATTTTTATATAAATTTGGCGTTGCAGTCATAAAAGTTTTGAGTACGATTATCGTACTTAATTTGTTGTATTGTCTGTCATACAAGTTGGAAGTTTGGAGTGCAGTAAAACCTTATTCCAACAATCACCTTCCATTTGCAATGTGCTTGTAGCTGTTAATTACTGTGTCATGTGGTCTCTTGTGAAGAGTTGTCTCATTGGCTATCATACCACATCTTCTTTTTTATTTGTACTAGGTCAGCAATACTGTAAATTGGTTTATTTTTCACAGAGATTAAAATTAAATATCAAGATTTCAAAGACCCAACTTGTTCACCAGGTTTTATTTTGTGTTTTTCTTCTTCCATTAAGATCTGCTGTTGCAGTGTAAAGCAAACCTTACTTAATTAATAAAATCTTTTAAGATCAAATTACGTGACAAAATATTTCCACAATTTGATCTTTTTTTTTTACAAAATTATCAATATATTTACAGTATGACAGTCTATAAACAGATTTTCCCCAGAATTGGCCCAAATACAATATATTATGTTATTTTGCTTCAAGTTTTGCTCAGTTTAGGCCTTAGATTAATTAATTGATTGGTGTTCAACTTTACCTTCAGCACTATTTGCTTTTTATATGGGGAGGAAGCCGCAGTGTACAGACAGAAACCACTGACCTTCAGCAGGAAAACTGACAATCCTGGTCAATAAAGGTTTTGGCCTTAGAAGGGGCAGGTGAATCTTCGCAGCACTCATATTATACATTTCATCACCTTGTACAATACATCTTAATGGACAGTCAGATATTTTTTTGTCTTGTGCCAAAAATGCATAGCGCAATCATTGCAAAAATTTTACTGTTATACTGAATAATGGGCCTTGATCTTTGGAATATAACATTTAGTAGGAATAACTGACACCCCCTATTCTTAAAGAATGATGTTTTATTTATCTAACACTTTACAATTGTAATGATAATTACCATTTATAAATGTCTTACCTCAAAGATTATCATTTTGCCGTCAAATATAGCCATAAAATGTATAGGTTCTTTCCCTTGTACTACTCGTACCTGGAAACAGAAGTCAAAGGTCAATAATAAAATATCAGTTAAAGCATTATAACAACACAAACTGATGGTAGCAAATATTTTTTCTTCAAAGGCTATTCCATGCAGAATAAGGATATTGTCCGAAAACTGGAAAATCCCCCTTTTTTTAATGAATAAAACCCCATAATTAGTTAACATAAAATCTGAAATTTATAAAAACAAAAAGGAGCTTACATAATTAAATATAAACAATTTGCCAAAGTTTCATGAAAACTGCTGAAAGCATTTTTTAGTTATTGTCCGAAAACTGGAAAATCACCCCTTTTTTAATGAATAAAACCCCATAACTAGTAAACGTAAATCTGAAATTTATAAAAATCAAAAGGGAGCTTAAGTCAATATATATAAACAATTCACCATAGTTTAAGGAAAACTGCTCAAAGCATTTTTGAGTTATTGTCCGAAAACTGGAAAATCCCCCTTTTTGTAATGAAAAAAAAAACCCATAACTCGGAAACATAAAATCTAAAAATTTATAAAAGTCCAAAAGGAGCTCATGTCAATATATATAAACAATTCACCAAAGTTTCTTGCAAATTGGTGAAATTGTTTTTAAGTTATTGTTCGAAAACTGGAAAATCCCCCTTTTTGTAATGAATAAAACCCCAAAACTCGGAAACGTCAAATCTAAAATTTATAAAAAACTAAAGGGAGCTCACGTCAATAGATATAAACAATTCACCAAAGTTTTATGCAAATTGGTTAAAGCGTTTTTGAGTTAATGTCCGACATGTTGACGACGGATGGACATCGGTATACCATAATACGTCCCATAAACGGGCGTATAAAAATCATTGGAGGGCAGCTAGAACACAAGGAAAAAAATTATCATCTACTGTTTTAGTTACTCTAGGTACCCAGGGGGTATGTTTCCTATTTATAATATAGAAATGTAGCATTGCATGCCTTTTTCTGTGCTATGAAAAATATCAAAAATCAATTAAAACTAATTCTACCACAAAATATTTTCAGCTTTTAATCAGTTATGTATAAATAGAAAAAATATTGTTCTGCACATGTACATATTTGAAAAAAAAATTCAAAGTAGTAGATAAATAAACCAGAGATATGTCACATCTATCGGCATAAAATTCAGAAAAACACAATCTGATGGACAGCAACATTGCTTATGAATTCAGTCAGAGATATTCCATTAAAATGTATGTGGAAGAGTAGGAAGGGACTTTCAAAATATCCCTACAACCAAGAACCATTTTTTGGATAATTTTGCATAATGGTAATAGATGCATACTGAAAAAAGACCCATGAGCCACATTCAATAATTAAACTTCCCTTCCTATCCTCCCACATACATTTTGATGGAATAGCCCTCACTGGACCATGATCTTGTGGACAGGGCCTGCAAATGGTCAACAAACTGAGATTTTTGTAATATTGTCAGTAGTTCCAATTAAACTGACTTAAGTAGAAAACTTAACACTAAAAATTGCTTATTAATTGAAAGTGGCTGGACCATGACCTAGGGGCAGAGCCTTGAAATAATCATCAAACTGATAGTGATCTATCATAAGTAGATCCTATCAAACTAACTTAAGCAGAAAACTTAACATTGAAAATTGCTAATTAATTCAAAGCCACTGGACCATGACCTAGGGGGCAGGGCCTTAAAATAGTTGTCAAACTGATATGTACTGATAGTAATGCAACTTTATATCAAATATCAATGATCTATCACAAGTAGATCCTATCAAACTAACTAAAGCAGAAAACTTAACATTGAAAATTGCTAATCAATTCAGTCATTGGATCATGACCTAGGGGGCAGGGCCTCAAAATAGTCATCAAACTGATATGTACTGATAGTAATACAACCTTATAGAAAATATCATTGATCTATCACAAGTAGTTCCTATCAAACTGACTTGAGCAGAAAACTTAACAATTGTAGCCACCACCGGAAACGCAATCCCTATGTTGATGTGGCCAAAGTGAAAAAATACAGAATGAAGTTTTCACTATAATCTTGAACTTTATACTTAAGTAACATGTGATACATGTACATACCTGCACAGCTGCTCCACCTAAAGCATCATCCATTTCTACAGCTTTCAATGCTGATGTACCTCTCTCGTCTGTTGTTGATTTTGCTCCCTAAAAGAATCAATAAAAATTTAAAGCTATTAGGTGAAATTAAAGAAATTTATTTTTCATGTTTTCATTTGTTATTTTAAAATTATAAGGATTTAGAAATTTATACAAATAAATTAAATCCTTTTTATATAAATTTGTACTAGCTAAAATTTCTAAAACTATCTATTTATAAAATTGTGACAATTTCTGGCTTTTAATACAAATTTTTTACATGAAATTAAATGAACTAAAATAGTGTAACTTTTGACTTTCCATCTTTAAAGCCATTAGTTATGATGAACAGTAAATGCAAACATAGATATCTTTCAAGAATTATATAATTTATGTGAATCAATTGAATCCTGCCTGTAACTGCCTGTAAAATTGATGTACTTTATGCATACATAACATAACAATCTTTATGGAGGGCCATACCTGCCAATAATACATGACATAATTTTTGTTGTCTGGATGTGAACATGTGTATGGAAGGCCTAATACCTGCCAATAATATAGATGACATGATTTTTGTTGTCAGAATGTGGATGAGTATTGGAGCTTTATGGAGGGCTTTACCTGCCAATAGTACATGACATGGATGAAAACAGGAGTATAGAAGGCCTTACCTGCCAATAATAGACGACATAATTTTGTTGTATGACGGTGGATAGGTGTATGGAGGGCCTTACCTGCCAATAATAGATGACATGATTTTTGTTGTCTGGATGAGGACAGCAGTATGGAGGGCCTTACCTGCCAATAATAGATGACATGAACTTTGTCGTCTAGATGTGGATAGGAGTATGGAGGGCCTTACCTGCCAATAATAGATGACATAATTTTATTGTCTGGATGAGGACATGAGTAAGGAGGACCTTACCTGCCAAAAATAGATGACATGATTTTTGTTGTTGTCTGAATGTGAACATGTGTACGGACGACCTTACCTGCCAATAATAGATGACATGATTTTTGTTGTCTGGATGTGGATAGGAGTATGGAAGGCCTTACCTGCCAATAATAGATGACATGATTTTTGTTGTCTGGATGTGGATAGGAGTATGGAGGGCCTTACCTACCAATAATAGATTACATGATTTTTGTAATCTGGATGAGGACAGGAGTATGGAGGGCCTTACATGCCAATAATAGATGACATGATTTTTGTTGTCTGGATGAGGATAGGAGTATGGAGGTCCTTACCTGCCAATAATAGATGACATGATTTTTGTTGTCTGGATGTAGATATGAGTATGGAGGGCCTTACCTGCCCATAATAAATGACATGATTTTTGTTGTCTGAAAGAGGACAGGAGTATGGAGGGCCTTACCTGCCAATAATAAATGACATGATTTTTGTTGTCTGGATGTGGATATGAGTATTGGATAACATAACAATCTCCTCCAAAGAATTTTCCCATGTGATGTTTCTCTTGTGGAACCAAATCAAAGTTTTCTACTCTCCAAACCTAAAAATATATAAAGATTTTGGTTGATTGTAAAGTTGTGTTGTTACACCACTGTCACAGGTTAGAGTATGTATAAGTGCTCACAAACATGATTATTTTTGTTTTATGTTTTAGTATAAAAAAGGCTTTCGTTTTTCTATAATGAATTGTTTCACATATTGCCATCCTAAGGCCTTTATAGCTTACTATATGTTATGGGTTTTGCTCATTGTTGAAAGCCATATGGTAACATGTAATTGTTCACTGTTTGTCCTATAGTCTTTAACTGCTAGATGTCTCATTGGTAATCATACCACATCCTGAGAAAAAGCTTACAAGATTACAAGAATTTATCTTGATAAATGATACTTAATTGATTTGAACTACAAGTAATAACAAAAGCAATTATCCAAAACAATTAATTTTGTTAAAAATATACAGGTTTGCTGCTGAAAAAATCCATGAAAAAAACCTTTTCAGAAATTCTTTTCTTTGAAGAAAGCTTAAACTCCAGACATATATTACCTCAGCTCTTCCTGAACCATCATCAAACATTTGTGTCTCTGCAGCTAGTTGTCTGTTTTCATGAAGTGTTGTTGCATCAAACTTTGTCTGAATTGTTTTAGCTGAAAAGAAACACATGCATATGTTATCAAAGACAACTAATGTATAGGATTTATTATTCTGCTACAAGACATTACCACATAATCTTATTATACAGAAATACCGCCTCGGTGGTCTCATGGTAGAGTGTGTGCCTCGAGTGCAGGAGGTCATGGGTTTGAAACCTGGCTGGGTCAAACCAAAGACTTTAAAATTGGAATTTGCTGCTTCTCCACTAAGAACCAGGCATTAAGTAGTAAGAGCAAAAGACTGGTTGGCTCAGAGTCAGAATAATGTGTCCGGGTAAGGTAACATGTCTTCCTGCGGACTGTTTAATTTGTTACCTTGTGAACTAGCATGTTAAAATTCCCGCTCAGCGTGTCGGTCTAGTACAAAGCAGGGTAAAACTTCCGAAACAGTATAGAAAGGTTGTCAGGGTACGGACCACTTAGAAAATGTCACATTCAAAGATGGAAAAAATATTACAGACAATCTCAAACATCAGGAAAGCAAGAATTTTTTGAAAAATAAATTTGCAAATATGTTTCCAATCATTGTAAATTTTGTAACACAGTTATTTAGCAAACTCACCAACTCTATTTCTACTATAGACTTTTCCTTCTACTTTTGGCTGTGGCCAGTCTCTAAATAAACATTTAAAATCTGTAGGTTCTCCATCTTCTACAACTCTGGTAACACTAGTATTGGGATCTAACCCCTTCTTATTTATAAAACCCTAAAAAATAAACAACATATAAGTGTGGACACACAAACAAGTCTCATCATTCTCTAACACTTTTGTTGCAGGTATTAGTGTTTAATCCATTCTCATTTATATAAGGCCAAAAATAAAATTTTAATTATTTGATGTTGCCTACCTACCCATCTAAAACCGTGAAAAAGCAGCCTACCCTAAGAATGTTATGACACAAAGTTTGAATTCTTTTTTTACATAGTTTTCTTGTCTAAAACATGTAACTTATGTTGTTGGCCAAAAAAAAAGTAAAATTCCTACCTAACTACCCAATCCTACAAGACATGGGTAGGGCAACATCAAACAAGGAATTTTTTAATGGTGGCCTAACACTTTAGATGTTCAAAATATAAAAACTACAACTGAAAGTTACAATCTTCTAGAGTCTGAAAATTTCTTGTCAATCTGAATTAAACTTCAAAAATGTATACCGGGTAACTGTTGACTTGATTTCATAACTGTTCAATAGATTATATAAGGTTGAATGAAATAGCAGCATGCTGAAATTTCTGAATATTCAGTATTGCTTTACCTTCAAATTTATAACGCTGAACAATATATATTTTTTTTAAAGAGAAAATCAATCAAATTGCAAGTCATTAAACAAAGTTCCATTCATAAAAACCAAAAACAACATACTATTGCATTTCTCATAGCTTCTGATCTTTCTTTCTTAGATGAGCCTTTACCAATCCAGGTCCATAAACCTTGGCTACCATTGTCTATAATGTAGGAGTCCTGAAACACAATAATAACAAAATATTGGAATTAAGGTGGTACCTAACACTACAGGGAGATAACTCTGTAAAAATCAGCTAAACGTTTTAATTACGTTGTATTCTTAAGGAAATGTTAAGCTTATCAATGATCAAAATTAGTGTTTGTCAAACTGCTATATAACCAATGAATTTTTTCTGGTAAAATGGCTGGTTCAAATTTTTTGGAATTTTTATATTTTTGTCAAAGGGTCAAAGTAAACATTTTGTCAAAATTTTATGAAAATTAAACGAGCCAAATTAATATTAGTCAAAGTGTTGGGTACCACCTTAAAATTTATATCTCTCATCCTATTTCTATTGCTTGAAGATATCAGATAGTTTCAGCTATAGACATTGTATGATTAATTTCAAAGCACTCCCAGCAAGTCCTTCCGCACTGAAAATGCTTTTGTATTTTCTTATTAAATTTAAAATGAACTGTACAATTTTTCAGTTGCAATGGGAAATTCATAAGAAATCAAGAAAATTTGGCGTCATAATTAAATTTCGACCAATCAATTGCCGAGAACAAAGTTTTCTCTAGAGATGAGAAATATTTTTCTCACACTGGTCGTAAAATGTGAAAAAAGCATTAAAATTAGAGAGTCCTTATTATCATTGCAATCATTCTGTAAGAATAAAACACAGTTTTGAGTTAAATCACAAGATCTTTAAGTCAAACTTTGATCTTAATATACATGACTGCTTGGACATCATCTGGAAGTCTTCACAATAATCTGTTGCAGCCACAGGCTTGACACTTCTATTTGTTGAAAATTTTACATAGATTCGATTGAAGCATAGAAGAAATTCTTACAGCCCCGATAGTTTTACAAGCAAGGGCTGGTGGGCCTGTGGCTGAGGGTGAAGACTGTCCTGATCAACAGTCAGTCAATTAATCCAATATACATGATTGTTGGTTTTTTATGGTGCTGGCTAACGATGTTTCAAATAAATTTGTGTAAATAATTTCAAAATCAAGACGTAAACAATTCATCGGACTGAAAAGGTAAAAACAAAGTCAAAATATTTGTTATAGTTTTGAATAAATTTACTCATCAAAGTGGATGAATAGTTATGATCAACTACACAATTTTATTTGAAACACTTAATTCAGCAAATGTTTTTCTAAAAAAGAATTATTGTAATGCCTTCTTTTTTTTATTTCAATACTATAAATTAATTCAGTTATCTGTACTTCTTACCCCAGGATTCATATCTTTCCTAGAAAGTGGACCATATTTAACCTCTGATACTTACCCCAGTATGCATATCTTTCCTAAAAAGTGGACCAGATTTAACCTCTGATACTTACCCCAGTATGCATATCTTTCCTAGAAAGTGGACCAGATTTAACCTCAGATACTTTGAGTGTACCTTCATCTTCAGAACACCTGTAAAATTTAACAATAAAACTTATTTAGAAGTGTATCATAATTTTTATCCCTCAATGATTCTTCTTAATTCATGTTATTAAATACATCCCACAATATTCCTAACGCAATTGCAAGAAGTACCTCATTCAGATTGAAGCCAGTTGAAGTAGAATGTCCACTGAGGTGTTGTCCATTTTGGAAAATATACTGACAATTCATTATTAACTTTTACTTTCACTTTCATTTTAACTTTAACAAACCTATTTGTGACGTGATGTCTTGTTAACCTTTGTGTAACCCCATATGAACCTCATTTTATGTACTTCAGCATTTGTTTCTTACATGTGTACTTAAACATATAAATTAATGACTAGTGTACTAACACATATAATTTGATGCCGAGTGTTCTTACACATATAATTTGATGACTAAGTGTTCTTACGCATATAATTTAAAGATGAGTGTACTTACACATATAATTTGATGACTAAGTGTTCTTACACACATAATTTAACGATGAGTGTACTTACACATATAATTTGATGACTAAGTGTTCTTACACATATAATTTAACGATGAGTGTACTTACACATATAATTTGATGACTAAGTGTTCTTACACATATAATTTAACGATGAGTGTACTTACACATATAATTTGACGATGAGTGTACTTACACATATAAATTGATGACGAGTGTACTTACACATATATAATTTGGTGTGTACTAACACATATAATTTGATGCCAAGTGCAGGACTTACGCATATAATTAGATGACGAGTGTTCTTACACATATAATTTGTGGATGAGTGTACTTACACATATAATTTGACAATGTGTTCTTACACATATAATTTGATAACAAGTGCAGGACTTACACATATAATTTGATGACTAGTGTTCTTACACATATAATTTGAAGACGAGTGGACTTACACATATAAAATGATGACGAGAGTACTTAAACATATTTGATGACGAGTGTTCTTACACATATAAATTGATGATGAGTGTACTTACACACAATAATAATTAGAATAAATTTCTTAATTTAACGAGGAAAACTCAATTAATACTGACATGTTAATCTTCCCTGTGGCCTTCAAAAACTTTTAATACAAAAAGAGAACAACAAAAAAAAATAATACAAACAAAATAAAAAGCATAATGACTAGTGTACTTACACATATAATTTGATGACGAGTGTACTTACACATATAAATTGATGACGAGTGTACTTACACATATAATTTGATGACGAGTGTACTTACACATATAAATTGATGACGAGTGTACTTACACATATAATTTGATGACGAGTGTACTTACACATATAATTTGATGACGAGTGTACTTACACATATTAATTGATGATGAGTGTACTTACACATATAATTTGATGACATGTTTCCTATCCACTTTGTCATCTTGTCCTCCAGCTTCTTTTGATTGAATTTCATTTCTCTCATTTAATGGAAGGTGTTGTGAGAACATCTGAAGTTATAAACAATCATTCATGTAGAACCTCTTACAGGTTTGTATACTGTATATCTGGAAATTTTCACGATAGACTTTTACTGCGAAATATACTGTTTTCTTTCACTGTCCATTCAAATATATTGAACAAGGTTGTAAAACATAAATAATGAATACAATCATGTCAGGGCCTTTTATAGCCGACTATATGGTATGAGTTTTCTCATTGTTAAGGGTCGTACGGTTGCCTATATTAATTGCTTACATCCACTTTATTTGAACTTAGGTGAATAGTTGTCTCGTTGGCACATCTCCTTATTTTTTATACAGCATACATTTGTTAAACCCTTTATGGTCAAAACTGTGCAAAAACCCAGACGTGAAAATAAACAGATATATACAGTATTTGAACCTTTGAAATTTCTTTATTGCCTTTGATTTAGACTCACAAATCCTACATATTTTCATTTAAACACTTACAACTTTAAGTTTTTAGCGATCTCAATAATCACATTCTTTAGAAATAAGAATAATTTATAGGTAAGCTATCAGGTACACTACATATAACATGGATTTTGCCATTTTCACCAGTCCATTGTGAGAGTTGGCATAGTTGTTAGATGTCCCATCTGTCAACCCATTAGAGTGGACATACTATTTTCCACTCGCCCATGGTGGGAGTTGGCATAACTTTTAGATGTCTCTTGTGCCCACCAATTAGAGTAGACATGCCATGTCTTTTTTTAAATAATAAGAATTAATCATACAATATCTTGTAAAAATAACATACGGTATTGTATTGAAAGTTCTCACAAAACATGTTTAACTCCGCCGCATTTTTGCGCCTGTCCCAAGTCAGGAACCTCTGGCCTTTGTTAGTCTTGTATGTTTTTAATTGTAGTTTATTTATATGTTTCAGAGTTTAGTGTGACGTCCATTTTCATTAAACTAGTACTCATTTTTGTTTAGGGGCGAGCTGAAGCCTGCCTCTGGGTGCAGGATTTTCTCGCTGTGTTGAAGACCCATTGGTTGCCTTCGGCTATTTTCTGCTCTTTGGTCTTTAATCATGTAATAATTTGATAGGAATTGTCCCAGCAGGCAGTTTGAAAAAGTTAAATCCACCTGAACTGTGGTGTATACTAAGAAAAAAAAAATGATATTTTCATTCATTTTGAAAAATTTATCAGATTTAATGATCTTCTTTTACTTAAGGGGTCCCAACCCATATGGCTAATAATAAACTAAAACAAACATCTTACCTAACCCTAACCGTGAATGAACTCAATTAGACCGTCACATGTCAAACATGTGACAATAATATATATGTAAGAAGTCATTCCCTATACAAATATTAACTGCCAATGAGAATCTCATATAAATTAAATTACTTTTAATTCCTCTGGGTCCATTTTGTCTTCTGTTCCATCTTCCACGATAATAATGTTAGTTTTCATTTTACCTGCTCTCTCGTCTCGTAAACTGCTTGCATGCATACATCCCTAAAAATAAATATTTTAAAAGGTTAGATGTACATAAAATATAACAGAATCATGATGTAAGAAAACAAGAATATGTCTAGATACTATCACATTACCATGCTCAGTGTACCGCGAAATCAGAAGTATAGATTCCACCACTGCATCAAGTGTATTATGATATTTCTCCACTTGAGACACTTAAATATTAAAATTCAAAACGCGAGGCTCCACTAGATTAAAGAAATATCGTAATACACGAGATACAGTGATGGAATCTGTTTCTCTGATGATTTAAAGACGATATCTAAACAAGTTTATCCTTCCTTTTCAAAGATTTGCAGAAAATTGTGTTTTTATATGTGACGTCACCAGACATGGTCGCCTTTTTACATAACATCACAATAGGAATTCCCAAGAAATCAAGAAAATTTGACATCATAATAGAAATTTTGACCAATCATTTGCAGAGAACAGAAATTTCACTAGTGAACATTTTTTTCACAATCGGTTGGGGAATGTGTGAAACAGTGAACAAATTGGAGAGCCCTAATTCACATTTTAATGAACATGTGTTCTAAGTTTCAAAATGATGTGAATACAACTTCATGATATATGGTGAAACTATTTTTCTTAGTGGGTATCAATTTTTGTGGATTGTGAAACCATAGTTGTTTTGTTTTAAACTTGTGGTTTTAAGATTAACACTTTCAGACTCCATGGAAAATATGTATTTCTTTGAGTAATTAATCATTGGAGGGACAAAAAATGACAAGGAAAATGGTACCCTACTATCAAAAATACTTTTAATTTAATATGACAAATATTTTTTTACATACATCATATTGTCAAGCCAATCTAATCGATGCATAAAGAATTTGTTGGCAAAAAAACTAAAATAAAACTGATACAAACACAAACCGTACGGTGACCTATCATAAGTTGTTAATCTCTGTGTCATTTGGTCTCTTGTGGAGAGTTGTCTCATTGGCAATAATACCACATCTTCCTTTTATATTATTATCTTTATAGTTATTATACATACCATTCGTTTTTCTGTGACACTAGCCTCTTTCCCATTCCATACAAACAACACACGACCCAAATCAAGAATGAACACATCCCCATGATTCATGGCCGACCACTGCATACCTGCTGCCTAAAAATACAAATTAAAAACAGGTAAAGAAACTATGAAATTTTTTCTCCCTATTAAACCCAATACATCTAGATACATTTGTATTTGGACATCTTATTTGAATGATAAGGGAAATAACCACATATACAAAACCTTGACAAAATTGAACAACTAATCTGACGGAATCAAGAGTTATAGTATAGTACTCTATGTAGTACTGAAAACTTTTTCCTAGTAATTTTATTCTATTTTTTAAAATTCTCATAAATTTCATTCATTTTAACCCTTTTAAATCTCAATTTCATAAATTTTACATGGCAAATGCTATATATGACTTATCTAACCTTTTCCTATTTAAAGATTTGATGATTTGTTTAATATTTTCAAATTAAAAAACTCATTCATTTATATAATTTCACCAAAATGTTTAAACATATTAATTAAGCAGTTTTGGAAATATTAACATCTACTTGAAGTAAAAAAGAAAAAAAGGATTCCAATGTAAACTATGTAACACTACCAGTAGTATTCTAGCAAAACTCAAATAGTCAAAGCAAAGCAAAATTTTGGGAATTTCTCACATTTTCAATTTTCCTTAATTTGTAAGAAAGTTATCAACAATACAACAACATCAACAATGTAAGGATTGAAAAAGTTCTTTAAATTCATATTTCAAAATGGTATACAAATAAAATCTTTAACAAATTTAAACAAACTAGAAACAATTTTTTTTTTTTGTTTACTGTCAAATAGTGAAAATTCTTGTGTAAGCTGAAAGCCATTCAGTTTTATAAAGTTTTGTCATAAATTATTTTATGTACTGATACATTAAAAAAAAAATAGTAATCTTTGTTATGGTAAGTTTTCATTATAGCAAAGCTTTCAAAAGTAATTCAACATTTTAAAAAAAAACTGCAATAAAACATACATGTATATTGACTTTCATATGCACACAAATATAAATAAAAGGCATGGCCTTGAAAATTATTCCATTCCCCAGTAAATAGTCCGGAAACATTTCCTTTTATCATGTCTGCACAAAGCTATAGCCTCTCCAGAGAAAATAGTCCTGAAACATTTCTTTTTATCATGTCTGCACAAAGCTATAGCATCTCCAGAGAAAATAGAAAAATTAAGCAAGAAAAGAAGCCATTCTTCTGAATAAATATCAATTCCAAAATAGATCTATTCTTTTAATAGTCATTTTGCATAAGAATAAAAATGCCACTGGCAAAGTTTTCCATGACTCAACAAACAGTTAATACTATTTTCTTGGCCTAGAAGCCTAGCTGGTTGTGAAACAAAGTCTGATTTATTATTACATGAGTAAGGCCAATACTAAATAAATATGTGAGTTGAGGGTTTCCATATTATTTGAAATGCCTCAAAATGCCCACTCTCAATTTTTAATTAGTGCTTTTGGAAGTGAAAAGTGAATTTTAACAGTACTGCAGGTCTCCCCATATACTCTAGTTACAAAACTAGAGGCTCTCAAGAGCCTGTGTCGCTCACCTGACTCTACTTTGGTTTTAGAAATCATGTAAAGATAGATAAAAATCATAACAGATACCCAAATAATGATTGAGGCCTAATTTTGATTAATATTGGTCCCGTTATTTAATAAAATATCCTGGTGGCCATCTTGAACAGTAAATCGGCAACAAAGTAGCAACACTTGGTCAGCACTTCATAAGGAACATTCATGCCATGTTTGGTTTCATTCCATTCAGTGGTTCTCTAAAAGAAGACAATTGTATGTATTTCCCATAGGGTCCTATGTTAAACTAAGTCCCCCGCTGTCGGCCATCTTGGATGATGGATCGGCTGCAAAGTAACAACACTTGGTCAACATCTCATAAGGAACATTCATGCCATGTTTGGTTTCATTCCATTCAGTGGTTCTCTAAAAGAAGACATTTTTATGTATTTCCCAAAGGGTCCTATGTAAAACTAATTCCCCCGCTGGCGGCCATCTTGGATGATGGATCGGCTACAAAGTAACAACACTTGGTCAGCATCTCATAAGGAAGATTCATGCCATGTTTGGTTTCATTCCATTCAGTGGTTCTCTAAAAGAAGACATTTGTATGTATTTCCCATAGGTCCTTTGTTAAACTAAGTCCCCTGCTGTCGGCCATCTTGGATGATGGACCGACTGCAAAGTAACAACACTTGGTCAGCACCTCATAAGGAACATTCATGCCATGTTTGGTTTCATTCCATTCAGTGGTTCTCTAAAAGAAGACATTTGTATGTATTTCCCATAGGGTCCTATGTTAAACTAAGTCCCCCACTGGCGGCCATCTTGGATGATGGATCGGCTACAAAGTAACAACACTTGGCCAGAACCTCATAAGGAACATTCATGCCATGTTTGGTTTCATTCCATTCAATAGTTCTCTAAAAGAAGACATTTGTATGTATTTCCCATAGGGGCCTATGTTAAATTAAGTCCCCCGCTGGCGGCCATCTTGGATGATGGACCAACTGCAAAGTAACAACACTTGGTCAGCATCTCATAAGGAACATTCATGCCATGTTTGGTTCCATTCCATTCAGTGGTTCTCTAAAAGAAGACATTTGTATGTATTTCCCATAGGGTCCTATGTTAAACTAAGTCCCCTGCTGGCGGCCATCTTGGATGATGGATCTGCTACAAAGTAACAACACTTGGTCAGCACCTCATAAGGAACATTCATGCCATGTTTGGTTTCATTCCATTCAGTGGTTCTCTAAAAGAAGACATTTGTATGTATTTCCCGTAGGGTCCTATGTTAAACTAAGTCCCCCGCTGGCGGCCATCTTGGATGATGGACCGACTGCAAAGTAACAACACTTGGTCAGCATCTCATAAGGAACATTCATGCCATGTTTGGTTCCATTCCATTCAGTGGTTCTCTAAAAGAAGACATTTTTATGTATTTCCCATAGGGTCCTATGTTAAACTAAGTCCCCCCGCTGGCGGCCATCTTGGATGATGGATCGGCTACAAAGTAACAACACTTGGTCAGCACCTCATAAGGAACATTCATGCCATGTTTGGTTTCATTCCATTCAGTGGTTCTCTAAAAGAAGACATTTTTATGTATTTCCCATAGGGTCCTATGTTAAACTAAGTCCCCCGCTGGCGGCCATCTTGGATGATGGATCGGCTACAAAGTAACAACACTTGGTCAGCATCTCATAAGGAAGATTCATGCCATGTTTGGTTTCATTCCATTCAGTGGTTCTCTAGAAGAAGACATTTGTATGTATTTCCCATAGGGTCCTATGTTAAACTAAGTTCCCCGATGGCGGCCATCTTGGATGATGGACCGACTGCAAAGTAACAACACTTGGTCAGTATCTCATAAGGAACATTCATGCCATGCTTGGTTTTATTCCATTCAGTGGTTCTCTAAAAGAAGTCATTTGTATGCATTTCCCATAGGGTCCTATGTTAAACTAAGTCCCCCGCTGGCGGCCATCTTGGATGATGGATCGGCTACAAAGTAACAACACTTGGTCAGCACCTCATAAGGAACATTCATGCCATGTTTGGTTTCATTCCATTCAGTGGTTCTCTAGAAGAAGTTCAAAATGTAATAAAATGCTTCGCTGGGCGCAGCTTGATACGACCGCAGAGGTCGAACCCTGAACAGTTGGGGCAAGTATGGACACAACATTCAAGCTTGATACAGCTCTGAATTTGGATTGTGATTAAATATTTGACACAGCATAGGTTTCTGACACAGAAAGAATGTGGTCTAAGAACTTCAATTTTTTTAATTTACCTATTATGGTCCAATGTCCAAAATCAAAATACATGGTTAGATTCAGCATATCAAAGAACCCCATATATTCAATTTTTGTTGAAATCAAACAAAGTTTAATTTTGGACCCCAACTTGGACAAACTTGAAAACTGGTCCCATAATCAAAAATCTAAACACATGTTTAGATTCAGCATATCAAAGTACCCCAAGAATTCAATTTTTGTTAAAATCAAACTAAGTTTAATTTTGGACCCTTTGGACCTTAATGTAGACCAATTTAAAAAACGGGACCCAAAATTAAAAATCTAAAAACACAGTTAGATTTGGCATATCAAAGAACCCCAATAATTCAATTTTTGATGAAATCAAACAAAGTTTAATTTTGGACCCTTTTGACCTCAATATGAACCAATTTGATAGCGGGCCCACAAATAAAAAATCTAAATACATGGTAAGATTCAGCATATCAAAGAACCCCATATATTCAATTTTTGTTGAAATCAAACAAAGTTTAATTTTGGACCCCAATTTGGACCAACTTGAAAACTGGGCCAAAAATCTAAAATCTAAATACATGTATAGATTCAGCATATCAAAGAACCCCATATATTCAATTTTTGTTGAAATCAAACAAAGTTTAATTTTGGACCCCAACTTGGACCAACTTGAAAACTGGGCCCATAATAAAAAATCTAAACACATGTTTAGATTCAGCATATCAAAGAACCCCAAAAATTCAATTTTTGTTAAAATCAAACTAAGTTTAATTTTGGACCCTTTGGACCTTAATGTAGACCAATTTAAAAAAAGGGACCCAAAATTAAAAATCTAAATACACGGTTAGATTTGGCATATCAAAGAACCCCAATAATTAAATTTTTGATGAAATCAAACAAAGTTTAATTTTGGACCCTTTTGACCTCAATATGAACCAATTTGATAGCGGGCTCACAAATAAAAAATCTAAATACATGGTAAGATTCAGCATATCAAAGAACCCCATATATTCAATTTTTGTTGAAATCAAACAAAGTTTAATTTTGGACCCCAGTTTGGACCAACTTGAAAACTGGGCCAAAAATCTAAAATCTAAATACATGTTTAGATTCAGCATATCAAAGAACCCCATATATTCAATTTTTGTTGAAATCAAACAAAGTTTTATTTTGGACCCCAACTTGGACCAACTTGAAAACTGGGCCCATTATCAAAAATCTAAACACATGTTTAGATTCAGCATATCAAAGAAGCCCAAGAATTCATTTTTTGTTAAAATCAAACTAAGTTTAATTTTGGACCCTTTGGACCTTAATGTAGACCAATTTAAAAAACGGGACCCAAAATTAAAAATCTAAATACACGGTTAGATTTGGCATATCAAAGAACCCCAATAATTCAATTTTTGATGAAATCAAACAAAGTTTAATTTTGGACCCTTTTGACCTCAATATGAACCAATTTGATAGCGGGGTCCACAAATAAAAAATCTAAATACATGGTTAGATTCAGCATATCAAAGAACCCCATATATTCAATTTTTGTTGAAATCAAACAAAGTTTAATTTTGGACCCCAATTTGGACCAACTTGAAAACTGGGCCAAAAATCAAAAATCTAAATACATGTTTAGATTCAGCATATCAAAGAACCCCATATATTCAATTTTTGTTAAAATCAAACAAAGTTTAATTTTGGACCCTTTGGACCTTAATGTAGACCAATTTGAAAACTGGATCCAAAATTAAAAATCTAAATACACGGTTAGATTCGGCATAACAAATAAATAAATGTGGTCAAAGATTTTACAAATCTAATGCGCCATACTGTGCAATTAAAGATGACTTCTTGAAATTTTTCAATATTTGAAATTTGAAAAAAAAAAAATATTTGAAGAATAATTCTTTTTAATTTCTGAAATCTGAAATGAGAAAAAATTGACCCCCCACAATTTCCTTTTACCCCCCCCCCTCTTTTTCCCCCAAAACCATAATTACCCATTTAAATTTACCATAGTGCTAACTTAATCTATTTTATAATAGAATTTAAAATATAGTGTCAAATCTTTCATATGGATTTTTTGGTAAAAAAAAAAGATGCAACATTTGCAGATATTTTTACTGGTCTTCCTTTATAAATATGCATTTCTTTAAACATAATTTAAAAGCAGTGTAAGGGAAGTAACCAAAACGTTGTATTTGGATTACCTCCCTTACACTGTTTTAAATTATCTTAATTGTTCATTAACCATTACTTTATACATAATTTAAAAGCAGTGTAAGGGAGATAATTTCAATGATGTATTTGATTTATCTCCCTTACACTGCTTTAAATTATGTTTTGTACGAAAGTATTTGTCCATTAACCAGGACAACCTTGTTTTTCCCCCTTTTTTGCCCCTAATTCTTAAACGGTTTGAGCCATAACCCCCCAAAGCAAATCCTAACCATCCCTTTGTGGTATGGAAACTTGTAGTATAATTTCAGAGAGATCCATACACCGTTCCACAGTTATTGTCTGGAAACTAGAAAATGCTTATTTTTGGCCCCTTTTTGGCCCCTAATTCCTTAACTGTTGGTACCATAACCCCCAAAATCAATCCCCACCTTCCTTTTGTTGTATTGAACCTTATGGTAAAATTTCATAGAGATCCATTCACTTAAACTAAAGTTAGAGTGCGAAAACTAATGCGTATTCGGACGACGACGACGACGACGCCAACGTCATACCAATATACGACCACAAAAATTTTTTTGCGGTCGTATAAAAAGTTAACGCCGACGCCGGACGACGGACGCCAAGTGATGAGAAAAGCTCACTTGGCCCTTTGGGCCAGGTGAGCTAAAAATGAGCAGATATTAAAAAATCCAATCTACCCACCCAATTTTTATCAGAAAGAAAGCCTGAACACAAATTTTATTTGACTGGCCTAATGGATCATCTTTTTTCTGAAGCTTTGCACAAACAATCTTCACCTAAAGTTTTTGACATCAGTTAGGGCCATGTCACACAACACCTGAACAGGTAGGATTCCGTGGGATACTTTTCTCATGCAACAAGGAATGTCTTAAATCACATGCATATCAATGTGTAATGTATTTCATATCTGACCCTCAAAGTTACTTTTTATTAAATTATTTACAATATTTACATCATCATATTAAACAGGTCTGGTATATCCACATTATGAGCTTATATAGCTGGATTATAGGCTATATAAGCTCAATGAGCTCATATAGCTGGATTATGGGCTATATAAGCTCGATGAGCTCTAGATTAAAAATTATCTTATTTTGGAGTTTTCTATTCAAATTAAATTTTGGCAATTATCATGATAATCATGATAATACTTAAAAATGCAATCTTAAAAGTTTTTAACTTTCATCATGACTTTTTTTTAGGAATATTTCTCACAATAATGATAAAAATTTACTGCAAAATCATATTCAGAGTATTCTTGATTTTGTCAGCAAAATATTAAATTCCACTTCAAAATAATAAGTGAGAAATTGAAATTATACATAATAAAACAAATATGAGATAGTTTTTTTAGCCCTGTTGATCTATTTTATTCAGACCAACCTATACTAGCTCAAATTGCAGAAATACAGAACCTGTACAAAGGATACACGAATATAATGAATGCTTTGTGTTACAACACCTGACCTTCCAATAACATCTAGTACAATCAAGTCTGATATATATATATGTGATGCATGTACCCTGAAAACTGCACCTGTCTATATTGCCTGCAGTAAACTGTAGGTATATATCAACTCTACCCTTAACGATTTAATACTGCCACAGATTTCAGTGTGAGATACATCCAAGAACTTGGACAAAATCAGACGTTTTTTTTTTTCATTTAATTTCGTGTGGGGAAGTTCCAAATCTAGAAGCTTAATGTTTAAATGAATATAAAAATAGCATTCTAATAAACTAAAAACATCACTATAATATTGTCATTAATCACTCCTAGCATGATATTTGCAATTCTTTTATGTCATTATTTTTTTTTTCTTTCAATTTTTTCCATTTTATTTGAACAAATTTGTTTCCCATTCTTAATGGACAAACTTGATTGAATAGGATCGAGAATAAAAAACAGTTTGTTTAAAGCTTTCAGTAAACTTATTCTTTTTCTAGCAAATACAAAGAGCAATGATATAGAACAATGAAATCTTAATTTTAACAAAGAAAATGTTAGGAGATTGGAATTAATCTCATCTTAAAATTTACAGATTAAAATCAATCATGTTACATTGCCCCTTTGAAAAATTAAGGAAAATAATATGGTTCTTTAATATAAGAAAAATAGCTTTAATACTAAAACATAACTCCCTTCTTCTACCCAATACAGTGATAATAATTCACTGTTTTACATAAAGAGGTGGGGGACATATCAAAGGATTAAAGGTTGTCTCCCCTTCATAACAGGGTAAAGGGAGATAACTCTCTTTATGAAAACTTTTCCTTTCTGTATCCCAAACTAAGCCATAACATCAAAGTGACCGGTAGCATGCATGATTTAGCCAATCTGTGTATACAACAAAATGATAACTTACTTCCAGCTGGTAATAAAAGTTTTAACAAAATATATATACAATGTAAATATGTAGAATCATTATGTCAGTAAATACATGTGAAACAATATTGTGGACACAGATATATAGCTTGCCTGCTTATTTGTAGGTGATAAACATTTTAATAAAATATATACAATGAAAATATATAGTATTAAGCCAGAAAGCACATATGATATAAAATTGTGTGCAGCAAATAAAAAAATCAGTAACTTCCACTTTGTATGAATATAAAGAGGATCGGATAAACCTTATTCAGTACTTTTTACTAATGAATTTTTAAAGGACAATTCTTACTCACTCAAGAATATTTTTGAACTTATTGCACACAGCTAAAAATTCTATGGAGTCCTCTGCATGGTTTTGTGTTAAATCAATGAAGTTGACAATGCTGAATCCCTCTGTGTTGTATGCAATTTATTGTATTCTCTTCATTATAATTTCTGGTGTTCTCTAAGTTATTATTTCTGGTGTTCTTTTAGTTAGAATTTCTGGTGTTCTCTTAGTTATAATTTTAGGTGTCCTCTAAGTTATTATTTCTGGTGTTCTTTTAGTTATAATTTCTGGTGTTCTCTTACTTATAATTTCTGGGGTTCTTTTAGTTATAATTTCTGGTGTTCTTTAAGTCAAAATTTCTGGTGTTCTTTAAGTCAAAATTTATGGTGTTCTTTTAGCTATGATTTCCAGTGTTCTCTTATTTAATCATTGGTTACAAACAAAACATTTGTTAATTTTGTATTATAAATGGAAATTTAACTTGAAGAAAATCACCAAAACTTTCAATTCTAAAAACTTGTACTTAAGTATGATACAGATATGAACGCCTCCTCAATTAACAATTGCTTTTAAGGTGTGAAAAATAAATGCAATAAAAGTTATCAGAAGTTATATCTCTCACTTTCAAAATAATTTCTAAGGTCTATTCCATTAAAATTGATGTGGGAGTGTAGGAATGAAAGTTTTATTTTAGGACTTGGGCAATTAAAGGTGGTAAGTCCATTCAATGTTTGCTGAATTACACACAGAAAGATTTTTGGTTGTTTAGGACTTTGGAAGTCTGTTCCTACACTCTCCTATCCATTTAAATGGAATAGTCCTAAAGGTTGTTTGAAAATCTTTATAGTAAGCATACAACTACATACCTCTGTCACTCTAACATGGTGCTTTCCTTTAACATGTAATAATCTCTGTCGGAATTTATGTTCCACATGATTGAATCCTGAGGCATGGCCACCTTCAAGATATCTAAAAAAATAAATAAGGCTACTGTAAATTCAGAAATTTTAGAGTCCACTTAATATTGCAAATGTTGGAAAATAAGACTAAATTCATGTGAAATTATTGCAATTTATGAATCCTGTATAAAAGATAATGCTATCAAAATTTAAAATATGAGTTTTTTTTTTACGAAACCTTTTTCATCACAATTTTCACAATGAAAAGTTCCAAAGGTTTCACATATATATAAAAAAAAATTTTGGTTACATGTCCTAGTTTGTATGATTTAATGAAAATATGGTGCATAAAATGTACTGAAGGCGAGCAGATTACGATATCAAAATTAAAAACAAACATTAAAAACACAAAACAAAACAAAAAGTAAAGAAAAAAAGGGGTCGGGGATCCATTCCCCAAGCCCCAAGAAACTAATATTCATGAAAATAAAATTTTCCTTAATTCACAAAAATAAATGATTCCTCAGTAATACTGATATCTACTAAGTGAAATATCAGTATGTACAAGCTTACTTAATGCCTCCTTTTGGTTTGAAATAATTCATAAACAATTTAGATTCATGTCCTTCGACTTCTCTGTGTTGAACTGGTCCCCCTCCCATATAATCATCCAGTTCAACTGTCTTGTAGGCTGCTACACCAGCCTCATCCTGAAATATAAATGTCAGCAGTTCAATCAAATACTTCAAAAGTATAATTTTGCAAAAATTCTATAAAAGATGTGTGTCTGAACATAAAACTACAAAAGTAAATTCTACATGACAAAACTTTCATAATCAATGTTATCTATGTTGAATTTATAAACAACTCTAGTAGAAAGAAGGGTGTATTCTGAAGTCTTTGACATGTCATTGTCATGAATATGCATGTATATTTTGTGCCTATATGAAGTCAGGTTATCTGAACCATGTGTTTCCCACTGTTGTTATCTTAGTTTGTCTGTCGGTTTTTTTAAGAGAGTCGGGAATGGGTGGTAGATGTGTTCAGTTTTACTGTGCTGTATTTCTGGCAATTCCTGTTATCGCTTTTTAAGTAATATTTGATGCTTGAAATCAAGCAGCTATCAATCGATATAAAGCTGAAATGATATTTGGTGCTTTTACAAATGTTTCAGCCTTCACTAGCTAATTTTAACCGCAAATTAATTTATCTATAGATAACTGACACACTGATTCAAATTTTAGTTGTGCTATATCTCACAAGGTTTAAGTTTGTAGGAGGACTCTTCTGAGACACGTTATTGTATTTCCTAGCCAACTGGTCTAAGGTTGTATTTAAAAATGCTGCCTGCTTGGCAGAGAAGCAGCAAATACTATTTTTAAAGTCTATTTTACCAAGCTGGGGATTAACTCAACAATTTCATACTCAAAGTAAGCATTCTACCACAAGATCACAGAATCATTTTTTTCAGCATGAAAGTTTGATGGTCATTTTTAAAAATTAAAATTGTATACAAACATGAAACTTTTATGGACAGGGTAGGACATTGGGATAGAACGTCTGGAACCTTTTTACAAACAGGAAGACATTATCCCCTGTAGTATTAATGGTTGAATATCAAGAGAGATATATTATATTATCACGACTTTTGTGAGTAGAAAATAAAGTAAATATAAATCATCAGGAAGATGTAAAATGTAAATCTTTCCTTATTTAACTACATAAAGTAAATTTTAAAATAGCAAAATCAAATTGCAGCTAATTCACAGGGCTAGAAAGGGCTAAACACGAAATAAATTATCCACCAAAATAAGAAGGGTTACATTATATATGTTAATTACCTGAGTAGTATCAGAACCTAACCAGAAATGTATATGAACATCCATACGGCCTTTTATTTCTTTCATCTGGAATGAAAACATATCTTATTAATACACTCAGTCTGAAGTAACCATATATATATTACACTCAGTCTGAGGAACCATATATCTTATCAATACACTCAGTCTGCAGTAACCATATATCTAATATACTCAGTCTGAAGTAACCATATATCTAATACAACACTCAGTCTAAAGTAACCATATATCTAATACACTCAGTCTGAGGTAACCATATATATATAATACACTCAGTCTGAAGTAACCATAAATCTAATACACTCAGTCTAAAGTAACCATACAATTTATACACTCAGCCTGAAGTAACCATACGAATAAATTTGAGTGTTTTCAAATTAATTATTTAGTTTACATAAATTAACAGGTTCAGTCACATGGGCATGAAAGAACTAATTTTGTAATATCATTTCTTGAAAATAAAAAGTACAGTCTGGTATGGTTTGTACAATTTTACTTTAATAATTAAAGCCTTGAATATACTGGAATATGGATATATATAGAATAATGGCATTTTTGTTTTTGATACTGACTTTATCAGCGAGAATATCAAGAAAGACTGCTAGGGCAAGATGATATTTGATATCAAAAAATAAAATGCCATTATTCTTTTTATCAGCAATTTGTCTTAACAAAATGTTTTTTGCTTGAGAATATGAAATAAAATGAATTAGTAAAACTACTTTTATGCATTCAAAACGTTGTGATAGTTGTTTGTTGTATGAATGCAGTCACATGCATTTCATTGATAAATTGAAATGAATGGACATGAACACCCAACAATACTGCACTGATATGTGATGTCATTGCCTAATATTTTTTTAGTATCAAGTCCTGTCCATAATCTTAACAAATGTTCTAAGGCAGTAAGATCAAAAGAAAAGTTTACAAATTGACGATAAAAATCTATATCCTAAATTTGTAATCTGGAAAAATCTGGCAAGCTTGTATTCTGAGCCTTAGAATTTTTGGACCAGCACACATTACAAAAATCTGCATTAGCCACACACAAACACACAATAAAGAAATAAAGGGAATTAAATCTTTGGACTCCTTTCCAATTTCTTCAAAATTATTAGGAGGTAAACTTGCTACAAAGTCTTTTTCATGAATCATAAATCTGAAGACCGTTTTTACAAAAATAATTGTAAACCACAAACTGTTAAAATTTTAAGTCTGTGTTAATATGATGCTTGAATTTGACAATGACATTAAAACATTCTATTGAGTTATCTCCCTTCAGTGTTATGAAGCCTCTAAACAATGACTTTGATATGAAAAACAGCAATGAAAGTTCATTTGCTATAAGTTTTTTCAAGTGTGTGTGTAGGGATTTCCTGCTATCAACTAATACACTATATCATTTCTTTTTAATTATAAGCAATAAAATATATCAATAGTTAGTATTACTCCAACAGACAAATCTATGAAAACCAGAACTGTTATACTGTGGTTTGATTTATCTTTGTGGATACCAATCTTCGTGGATCGAGGAAAACTTGTATTTTCATGGATATTTGATTTCATTGATTTGACAATAAGTCTGTAAACAAGCCTTAAGAAAATATATACTGGCAGTCTGCACCATTAGCCACTAGTTCGATGCCCCAGGCTAGTAAAATTTTATTCGGAATAGTTATTATTTGCAAAACATTGTTTAGACACATAAGAAAAATGTCGGAATATTGGTCTTCGGACTAGTAGTTGGAAAAGATTTTGATGCAGACTGGTACTGGCGTTGCAGATTTAAATTTATGGTTAACCTATACCGAAAAAATCCACGAAAATTTGTATCCCATGAAAAATAATGTATCCACAGTAGTATAATAACATTGTCCCATTAGTCTACAGCTTAAAGCTGGGAAACTTATAAAACAAAGAAATTTAAACTTCAGTACTTAAGCACATGTACATTTTTTAGTACTTTGACTCAGAGATACTGAAAAATGACCCTATAACCTTTGTAACACTGTATTAGTACTTTCAAATTATTGGTGTTCTATTTCAGTTCCATTATTTTACAGTAATAGAAAATGAATATTTGTAGAAAATGAATATTTGTAGCGACCAGCGAAGTCTAGAGTACTAATTTTGTACTTTTGGTTAGAAATCATGGTTATGTTTAACATGTACTATATAAGTACAAACATATATATCTGACATAAATGTTGTAGTTGTTTTGATCTTTTTTAAGTAGAGTAAATTCTTATTTGAAATTTATCCGGAAATTACAATAATCAAAGTACTTGAAAAGTACAAAAAAATTAACTGAGAATGTAATATATCAAATGAATTAAAATACAAAATGGTTACTTAAAAATTATAGGAGTAATGTAGTAGTATTATACTTCACATTAAAATGCCAGATTTTTATTGGCTAATACGAGGGAGATAATTTACTCTATCCCATGGCTCAGCGGGAGACAATTTTTTGAATGTCACCCTCTCGTACAGACCAATCAAAATCGATAATTTAAAGGACAATGAATTGAATTTACATCAATAGTTTTAAAGACAAGACTCAAGTTCAACTTTTTGGCCTCAGAACATGTGATATTCATAGACTTTCAAAATAAAAGATACATCTTGCTTTACTTTTGTTGTTTTTCTAATAACTTAACAGTGTTATGTACATGACGTCATAGTTAATAACTTTCAATTCAAAATTTAAAAAACAATAATGACAGAACATTCAGTATAATAAGTTAAATAATGCATAGCTGAGAGGGTGATAGAGCAGATTGTTACCCCTCCAATAAACATTGTCAATCTTGGCTTCACCTCGGTTGACAATGTTTTCTCAGGGTAACAATCTGCTCTATCACCCTCTCAGCTATGTGCTATTTATATAATGTAAAATTAAGGTATTAAAATAGTACAATAATTTGGAAGTACTAAAACAGGACTTCACTATTCAGGAATATTTTCAGTACATCAAATATATAATACTAAAAAAGTGCACATGCAAAAGTATCTGTGAATACCTTGTAAAAGGAATTACGGTTGACTGCCACTCTATAAAAAGCTTTTTTGTAACAAGATGAGCTTAAAAAATAGATTCCCGTCCAAAAGCATATATACTACTAGAAAAGATAATGGGATGAACTGGTGATCCAAAATATATAAAATCAAACAATAGATGCATAAGCTGTTGTTTTTTTTTTCATTTTATCTCACAGTAGAGTGAATTGATGCATTTCATCTGGTCATAAAGAACGTGTTGGAAAAAAATAGTGAATAGAAGTGATGATATGTGGAGATACTAATTCAGTAATAGTATTCTTTGAAAACATTCTTCTGTGTAAACCAATGACATAAAGTGACATAACAATTCCTTAGAAAACTTGGCTTGATAAATTAGGGTTCACATTTAAAAAAAAATGTTTCAGGAACCTCTAAGGTAGAATCCAAAGAACCATTTCAAAATCATTATTTTTAGATTTGTTGCATTCAGCTGGAAAAAAGCCATATTAGAATTAGAAATTATCAACATCAATCAACTAATTTACTACCACAAACACTTTTTTACAACCTACTGAGGACACTTTTAAACTCTGTTTGTGACACTAAAATATATGACTGTTGTTTGCAAAATCAGTTCTCTAAATTCAAAAATAAGTATAAAAGATGGTTTGAGCTATATTGGTGGAAGCTTCTAATCAAATATATATATGAAAGCCTGGAAAATGTCATCTATCATTATATTATTAACCACTGTCCTAAATGCAACTTCTTGAAACTCAGAAAAGCTGTGAAGCAAAACAAAACTGTTGCAGTAAAATGACTGATTGATCATGTGGCAAAAAAAAAGCTATACCTTCACATTACAACCTCTCTCGTCTCCCTCCTCAGCGACCTAATATTGGAAAATAGCATGCATTTCATAATGAGATAATAGGGTTTATTTAATTCTTTTTAAGTGCACATGTAGTAGCATCTGTACTGAACTGCAAATTGATTTTTCAAATGGATTTCAGTATTTTCATCTCATGTGACCACAACAACGGCAAAATGTGTATTTTTTTTTGTTCTAAGAAATCCATAATAATTCGTACACCAGAATATCACTGATATGAATAAAAGGAGATGTCTTTGATTTACTATACTATATGGACATATATCATTCACCTAGTGAATTTATCATAAAATAGTCACTTTATTGCATCAAAACTATAGAAATCAATCTTTAAAGAATACAAGTATATTTATTTAGTTATCAGCGAAACAAATATATGCTGGGATAAAACAATTCTGTACAGTATATATATACATATCAATATAAATTGATATGATGCAAATAAGCTTAGAAACACAGTTGAATGTTAAAACGATACAATTTCAAGGAAAACTTGCATATTGAACAGACATACAATGAATATATATGAAAACTCTATAGCCTGTATATTATGGACGATTCTTAGATGGCTCTTTTGTTGTCCATAATACACAGGTATGACCTATACTTACAGACAATACTATGTATGAATCTCCTTTGTAGAAATTACCATACTGTTCCTTGGGTACAGACACCACATTCATTTTCTACAATATATAAAATTGTTTATGATTGTGAAATTAACACTTTATGAATTTGGTACCATGGAAGCACTTTTCATGATGTTCCAAAAAATATATTTGAAAGTCAGGAATGTGTAAATACTATATGACCAAAAAGTGACCTTGAAAGCAAAGAGCCAAAACCATCTAAGGTCAACTTACAGTAAAACCTTATATTTCTGAATAGTTTCTAAATTCATCAATGGAAAACAAGAAATGACGATGTTATAAAATAAACATCAGTAGGGATGCACAGACTACTTAGCTAATGATACCCTCAGGACTAACAGTCCACCTACCAGCAGCAGTATCAACTCAGTATCAGAAAATAAGATTAACACATTATTAATTTGTTGCTTACAAAGCACTTTTCTGGATTTACCTTCATCAGGAATGCTCTAAACTAAAGGTTTTACAATTGTTGATTGCACTGACACCACAAATACCAACGCTGAAAACAGTATGCCTAAGTCTCACTTTGTGGCAGTCGAGACAATAAAACAGATTAATGACTTTTTTCCACTATACATTTTGTACTAGTATTGTTTAATTTTTTGACACATAATCCTTCCTTTATGTAAGTATAAATAAAACTGCATTGATAATTCTGTGGGGAATAACTTAGCTCATCAATAACACATTAACCCTGACATTATCATCATCATTATGCCATCCCCCATTGATAAAACCATAAATAGTCTCTTAGCTTATATTTATGTGAAAAAAATAAGGTGTGTATAAAGTTTTATGTATTTCCAATGCCTCTGGTGTCTTTCCGACAATTTGAGGTAACGTTACTGATCAAAGCTGTTCAGGAAGGAGTAATGGACCAGTCAATGATTGGTAAAGCTAACGAGTTTGCTTGGTTATGTGTAAAAAAAGAAGGTCATTATAAAATTGATTTATTTTTAATGTTTCTTTTGTACTTCAAACATAATCAAGGTAACTAAAAAAAAAAACAGTAGGAAACGAAGATTGGAGTATGAGAAACTGTTGATAATATCCATTACAATTCTTTTACTTTAGGCTGACGGTAGAAAAAAAAGTAAAGTAATTACAAATTTTGTATCTATTTTTTATAAACTGCCCACACTATCACCATATCCTGCTGTACTTTATGATTCGCTGGATAAGGTCCCTATTTTAAGCTCTATAATATTTGATAAGGGCTAGAACTTAAGATAAAATATATCAAAGTTGCTGATTCTGAGTGGTCCTTCCGAGGATGTAACCTAAATTTCTTGGTAAACTACCTCAAACAAAAACTTTAACCAGATTTAGTAATGCACTATCACTGTGAGATCAAAAGATTGCTTCCTCTTTTTCTTCATTTGCTGTAGGGGGGTGCATAAAGCAAGAGAAGAAAGGAGGAATAAAGCTTTAGAAAACATAGAAGGTACTTAGGTAACTCTGACCAATAGATTTCACAAAAAAATTACTGCACTACATATTCAAATCACTGAAAATTTACTTTTTGATTTCCTTTCTGGTTATGTTGTGATGCCATGATACTGTCCTCCAAAAGGTCCACTTCTTTTATTATTTACATGAAAAGGCTAAGAGATATAGTAAATAACAGCTTGACTTGTCATTGCAAGTATTGAGGGGAGAACAGAGTAAGCTGGGAAGGATACCAAACTAATTGATGGATTTACACTACAGCTCAGCTGGTTTTTGACCTTTCGTAACCTTCCTACCATGGACAGTCCACTCATATTTAGCAATATATTTTGTGGAATATTTGAAAACAAAAAGGCTATAAAACTGAATTTTCATAGAAATGTTTGCTCAATTCTAATAATGGAAGAAAAGAATTTGTGTGTCAACTCCATATGGTGGACCCAGGGTACCAGCTTGAAGTTTTGTTTTCTCTGTACATGTCTAACAATGGACAACTGGAAAAGATATGACTTTAATATAGTTTAATGGGGACATCATTTTATATCAAATATTTTGGTGATTCCAGTCTCAAGGTGTGATGTTTTTTGAAAAAAAGTATAATCATTCTGCCAAAAAGCCCTGGAAAGTTGAAAATAAATCAACTGTACCATATAATATCTTTCATCTGATTGCCTTAAACCTACATGTGTAAATTTTACCCTAAAAATTGCAAGCAAACTTTATATGCATAAATTTGTTTATCATTAAACTTAGCACTTCTAACAATTCTGAACCAGAAAATGTGTTTCATTATAAATTAGTTCAATCGATAAACATTGAAATTTAATTTTCATTTTTAAATATCTTAATCATACAAAAGAATAATGAATAGATTGAAATATTTTGTTAGCTTATAGTTTCTCCTTGAATGTGTCTGATTCAAACAGACCATCCTTTATAATTTAAAATATATCAGATATTCAATGCATTCCAAAACGATTAAATGTAAAGGGGAAAATAACTTCGGTAGAGTTGATTTAATTTAAAGGCCTCTAAATCAAATATAAAAGTCCACTTCTCTAAAATAAAACTTTTTTGATGAAAAATAATGTCCCTTTATATACTTTTCTTACATGCTGGATCAGTGTAAGCTGATTTTTAATCATAAAACCTCAAAATGTCATAAAAAAGCAGATTCTTTATCAAGTTATAAGTTGCATTATCAATCAGCTGTTGGTTTATATTTTCACTTAGTGTGCCAAATTAAGCCATTCCCTTTTAAGATTATTTTAACATATATATGTTAAGAAAAATTCCAGCATAAAGCCATAATGTTCAAACAAGAATGTGTCCATAGTACACGGATGCCCTACTCGCACTATCATTTTCTATGTTCAGTGGACCGTGAAATTGGGGTCAAAATTAGAAAGATCATATCATAGGGAACATGTGTACTAAGTTTCAAGTTGATTGGACTTCAACTTCACCAAAAACTACCTTGACCAAAAACTTTAAACCTGAAAAACTTTAACCTGAAGCGGGACAGACAGACGGACGGACAAATGGACGCACAGACCGAAAAACATAATGCCCCTAGGTAGGGCATAAAAAATTGGCATTGTTGACAGATCTATGATAGTCTGCTAAATTTGTACACAGCTTTCTCTCGACATGGACCAATTAAGAACTTGACATATTGTTTAAACACTTGGGGGCTCTAGTCCAGTGCACCCCCCTTTTAGGTCACAAGGTCATGTTTAAAATTTGCCTGAGGTCACCAGGTCACTTTTTAGCAATCAAAACATTCAAATAAAACTGTTTTGAACATTTTTATGGTCATATATCCTTTTAAATGTGACATAAAGTTGCAAGGTCTCCCCTCAAAACCCCCAAGGTCACAGGTCGGATTTGATCATGTATGAACCATACACTTGTTTATTGTTTGAAATGGTATACTATAAGTACAGAAATTGTTGCCTGCATTTATTACTGCTATTTTTGAAAAATGAACCAAATGCGAGATTAATTATTGTGATTTCAGAAAAATCTGCATAAAAGATATAAATGTATCAGATCTCAGAATGCGAGTTCTTATGATTGCGATTCTTACCCAGTCACATTATTTGCATTAATAAAAATCTGGCAATAATTTCTGAATCTTAACAGTATTGACCTCTTTCTGAATCTAACAGTATTGACCTCTAGATGTGTCGTAGTCTATTGTACATCTTTTGGTTGAGTGTCTCGTTGTTGTATACCCCACATCTATGTATATTCAAATCCAAACATATTTATATTTCCTTTTACTATATTAGGTAACAAGTATTTTTAACACACAGAAATGTCGACTAAACAGAAATTTAAATGACTTCAACTTGCACCCAGTTATACTCAAGCGTTTCAAATTTGATCAGCCCACAGACCTGAGTTAATGAAAATGAAATTTCTGTCTAATAGATTGAGGTTATGGCCTGATTTTCAGACAGTGGTTATTCTAAACCTATGGTTCTTATTTTTGAGATGTAAGATGTCTTGAAAATTGTTTATCATTAAAGATAACAGCAAATATTCATGATACAATCTGCACATTTTATTCTTTTGGCCTTATGTAATGAACCTTTACCCCTCTGGAATATCACAATGAATTAATGCTTACCAATTCCTATTACAATACTTTACTATACTAATACTGAGAAGTACTGCTAGAATTAGCTTAAGTACTTAGTACTGATCGCAAAAACTCTTTGAGGGGTATATAGCTGACCTGTTGCAAGGCAAATTTTCTGACCCTATTCAATATACACTATTTTCCCAATGGCTTTCAAATTTCCAACCCTAAAACATCCCAGTCAACCCACTTTCCAGAACCTATAAACTGCAGTAATTGTTCTTGTCATGAATATACCTGAAATATTTGTCACTGGATTTTACACAAACAACAACAATCAACCAATTATGAAGTGTTGTTTCTGAAGTCTCACTTTTTCTCATAATACATTTATAATACTTGAGAACAGTATTTAAAGGGTTACTTAGAAATACATCTGACTTCTTTTATTCCAAGGGGACCTGATAAAAACCATCTAGGGTGACATCCATTTAATCAGCTGTCAACAGTGCCCCCTACCTAGTTCTATCCTATCCTTATCCTAACCTACTGAACCCCAAAAATACCTCCTTCTAAAGAAAAAGGCAAGGGGACCTGATATAGACCATCTAGGACTACATGCATTCATAAACTGTCAACTACCCCCCTAGTTCTATCTTACCCTTACTATCTGAACCCCAAAAATACTGTCCCGCCCTAGAAAAAGAAAAGAAAAAGCTAGGGAACCTGAAGAAAACCCATCTAGGACTACATGCTATTTATAAACTGTCACACTCTAATTTTATTGTATCTTTACCCTAACCAACTGAGCCCTATAGATACTGACCCCCTTACAGAAAAAGCCCTATATACATGATATGCATCCTATATATGTCTTAAATCAAAGGTAATCCTGATTCAAGATATACAAGGCCTTAATGAACCTATGATTTACTTATCATTTCACTTTTCATTATCAATTTTGATGACCTGTCCCCATGCAAGATATTCAAGGCCTTTATGAACCTATGATTTACTTAATATTACACTTTTCATAATCAATTTTGATGACCTGTCCCCACGCATTTTACAATATAAATTGTGTAGTCTATTTAAAAAAGTTCAGAAATTAATGGCATTCGAAGGTAGTGAGTAAATATGAAACACTTAATCAAATAGCCTATGTAATGTATTTATTTAAATTTTATAAAAACCTGTTTATTAAAATCCATTGACCCCACCTTTGACAATTACCACTGAAAAATAAGATTTGTAATGCAACTTTGATATGTAATAATCAATGCCACGCCTCTATATTTCAACTTACCGACACAAATATTTTTACAAATTAATTCACACTAAAGCTTTTTTAATTGAAAGACTAACATAAAAACTGTACCTCTATTCTCCATATATGAAACACTGACTTTTTACTCCGAGGGTCAATTACACGGAAGGCTGCATCAACGTTAGCCATTTTTCTAAAGTTCTTCTATATTCCAATTCTACAAAATAGTAAATGTAATAATCATAAACTACCGGTCAAAGGCGTAAATATTTTCGTAGGTGAATGAATTATAAATAGATTGTGTTCAATGAAGCATGGTGTTACAGAAAACCACCTTGTATTACAAGAAACACTTGTATTTACCTGTGCGTACAGGTATTTAAGGTAAACGATTGACTTAACCAATCATGCAATTAAGACTATATAAGGAATGTGTAAAGATGAATCGTCAGATAAACAGTGGTATTTAGATTTTTCACTGACCGTTGGTCAAACAGTTGATTATGTCATTAGGTCATAATTTAAATACAAACTTAATGAAATATCCTTGGGTTATTGAACTAAGTGTTGACTAAAGTGAAGATATCGGTCTATCTCCCAAGAAAAGCTCAGTTTGATATCAATTCATTAAATATTTTAACTCATATGTTCATGAATGAAAGCGAAATCAATAAAATAATTAGCATGCCTGCAGCTTCTATACAGTATAACTTAATATGGCTTTGGATAAAACATGCTTATGTTGGCACTGTGGGTTTCCCTGAGAGCATGAAGTATTGTACAGCCATGGCCAACACCTTGTTTTTTTTCCCATAATTAATAAAAAATAATTGAGAATTCAATTTAAATCAATTTTAATGCCTAATGATTTTTTCAAAAATTTGTATGGAAAAACTGCATGAACTAGCTATTAGGCAGAAAAAATGAGATTCAAATTGACCTTTTAATATCTTATCAGTCAGTCTATGGCTGTTGAAAATACTTGACACAAGTACATGTATAAAGCATTAAAATCTTTACCACCTACATCATGTACATAAACAGCTAATTAAACTTTTCTAGACTCTGGTCAAAGTATAGCTAAACATGTTGTATAGAGACTTAAGTCTATTGTTGAAGATTGGTACATGTAACAAATGATTTAGTAAAAGCTTTGTGATGTATTTATATACCTGTAAAATATTAAAGCATGTGGTAGAATTTGTATTGCATTGAACATAGAACTCGCATTTTATATTCCGAGTGCATTATTTGAGTACCGTCGTGTTTTCTGAAATCAGTAATCATCCCTTTTCAAATCATGTGTGCATATATACTGATTTGACCAACATCTTCATTAAATAAGCAAACACAATCATTTCTGAATTTACCGTAATAAAAAAGGCCTCTTGTAATAATTTAAGTGCATGTTATTCAATAACTTCTACAGCATTTGGTCTCCAGGCCTTTAATATGTTGTTTCATTGACAATCATACCATCATCTTCTTATTCTTATTTGTAATTCAAAAATAATTGTTAAACATTTTTTTTCAAAAGGTCAACAACATTTAAACAATACTGTGATGACCTTTCACACCTGACGACAGGTAGATTATCTACATTATAAATAATTAGTTATGTCTTCAGGCCTAATGTGACATTTTGATGGGACTTTTATGACCTGTGATGTCTGGCCTAGTTAGTCTCGGTTTATATGTTTATGTTGGTCCAGAGTTAATATTAAAACTCCTGTAAAAAGTAGCAATGGCTTTTTCGTTCTCATTTTAAGTTTACCATAACAGCTGTACATACATCGTAGATGAGACAAGATCTCTTTTTGAATTACCCTTCATAAAAATCTCTTCTTAATTAAATTATTCTGTGAACAGATTTAGACAAAGAGTTTCAAGAGGATTTCTTTCCAAAAAAGGCTTTTTTCATTTAAGAAGAACAGTATTTACAGTTCAAACTTAATAATGTTCATCTAATGTTCTCTAGTAATACTACGAAGTTTTTCATTAGATTTATAGCATTTACTTTTAGAAAAACATCAAATTTCTACTGATTTATGTCACTACAGAACAGTTGGGTAGTTCAAATTCCATCATCTCGCCAAGGGTTTTAACCCACGTAAATTGGACCTTAAATTTTGTAGAAAATATATATTGTATGCAAGTTTAGAACTATGATGAACCAGAATTAAGGACAGACACACTCCACTTAATGGTGGGCCAAGGAAACTATCTAAAAAATTCTCCCACTCTGACCTCGGAAAATTATATTTTTTAAAATTCCCAAAATATATCATGATTTATTCCTAGACGACAAATTTATGAATTTTATCAGATTTTGGTGAAAATGTTTTCTCCTAAATCAATATTCATATGACATTATAACATGGTCGTTTACAGCTCAATTTCTTTTCTATATTGTTACACACATTTTAAGAAGTAATGTATACATGTATACTAGAGCCTAAAAATCCTCTTATTACAATTCTAAAGATTATATATATTATTACAGTAATTATGACGTCTTACATCATATATAATGAATGAATTACCAAAGGGGTTAAAATCTAGTATGATCTTAACAAATGTTAAAAGAGATATCCAATGAAATATACACTGATATAAAAAATATGTTCTATTATTACAGGATTTAAACTTGTTTAAATAATGGTCCATTCATGTACACTTTTAATGTAAATGAGCAGCCAGTTGGAACAAAATGGCCTCAGGACTTTTTTCATATTTGTTTTTCATTTTTGTCAACGCAAACATTGAATCAAATGCTTGTTTTTTAAACAATATATGTACTACATGTAACATACATTAGATTGAAACATACTAACACACCCATGCACTATAATAGGTCCAGTAAAATTGTGACAAATGGATAAAAAAATCCTCTATTCCATTTACATAAATGTACATGTACCAATGTCAGTCTAATTTAGGTCTCAAGCATGCTTTATTAGTACATTTACTTACAGTACTATGCACAAAACACTGAGCATAATAAATATAATAAGATGTGGTATGAGTGCCAATGAGGCAACTATCCATCCAAGTCACAATTTGTAAAAGTAAACCATTATAGGTCAAAGTACAGCCTTCAACACAGAGCCTTGGCTCACACCGAACAGCAAGCTATAAAGGTCCCCAAAAATGACTCGTGTAAAACCATTCAAACAGGAAAACCAACAGTCTTATCTACAATGTATATAATAAACGAGAAACGAGAAACACATCTACAAACGACAACCACTGAACATCAGGTTCCTGACTTAGGACAGGTGCAAACAAATGCAGCGGGTTTTAACGTTTTAATAGGCGAGCATGCTTTATTGGTACATTTACTTATAGTACTATGTACAAAACACTGAGCATAATAGCTTATATATAAAGGATCATGTTTGAGGCATGCTTTAAGCTTGCTTTCATTAAAATGACCCCTAAAAGTTTGGTAAATGCTACTGCTCATGTGCTGACAAATTGGTTGGAAATTCCAAACTTTTATTTATATATACCATATTCAAAGAGTCTTGTTTAAAGCTTCAAGCATGCTCTAAGTCTATTGTACTCTCATTATATGTACATGACACTGATAATGTACTGATAACAGATGCTTTAGGCTTGCTTTCAATAATAATTATATACATTTGTGCATTTACATATATTTTATCATGTGATCTGAAATACTGATTCTCATGAACCATGAAAATGAGCTCAAGGTCAAGTTAACTATGTACAATGTTTCGTTAATAAGACTAAATTATTATCTTATAAAATATGAGACAAGAGTTACCGTAGAGGAATTTAAAAGTCCATATTATTTTCATAATATTTCCTTTTTAGTAATCAGATACACATATTTGCCAGAAATCGTTAGCTCCAAATTGGGTAGGAATTTGTAAATTTTTAAAAGTACTACATGTATTTGAAAAAGTTTGAATTGGAAAAAACTGGTACCAGATGGCATTGAATGTGAGGTAAAGGGTAGGGATCCCTACTAGCACGGTTAGAGAGACTTAGTGCATCTCGCAATGATCATAGTTGGCCTTTTTGACTTATAAGAATCTGAGATAAATGTGGATAGTGTCCACATGTGGACACAGATGATGCCCCCGCTTGCATATCATATAGTTATAAAGGGACATAACTGAAGAACGGTAAAAGTGACGCTACCCAAATTTGAACTTGATCTGAGTTTTGTGGTAATGAATATTGTGTATAGGTTTCATAATGTTTGGTTGGGGCAAACTTAAGTTATAGAATGGAAACTAAAAATTTTGCAATCTTTCAATTTATAAAGGGGCATAACTCAATAATGGTTAAAGTGACACTACCCAAATTCAACTTGATCTGTGTTTTATCAGTGGAGTCAAAATTAAACATTGCATTGTATAAAGTATTAATTGTAGTTAATTCAACTTTAATCATGGACAAAGGAAGATAACTCCAATTTTAATAAAAATTACTTGATATTTAGAAGAAAATAAAAATTTTGCAATTTTTCCATTTATAAAGGGGCATAACTTCAGAACGGTTAAAGTGACGCCACCAATATTCAAACTTGATCTGTGTTTTGTGATAATAAGCATTGTGTATAAGTTGCATAAAATTTGGTTGAGGCAAACTCAAGTTAGAGAACGGAAACCAATTTTGAACGTACGGACGGACGTACAGACGGACAAGGGTAAAACTTAATACCCCCTCCGCTACGGCGGGGGCATAAAAATGACTCAATCATAAATTAATATGTCTTTATTGTCAGATTTAGTCATAATACCGTCAGATTCAGTCATAATACATTCAAATTTAGTCATAATATGGTCAGATGGTCTTTTCAGACTCAATACCTTAATTGATTGTAAAGACTTAATAAATATACATGGTGTTTTCCGTAAAGATATTACCTTAATACTGTGATAAGGTACTTATTTTTATTCAAATGTTCACAAATCTAAAGGCAGAGTTGTTTCAGTCATTGAACCATGAAACTGAGGTCAAGGCCATCTGTCTTATTTGAAATCTTCAGATCAAAAGACATTTCACACAAAATATTGATTGCCTATTGACTAGTATAAAAATAAAGAGATGTGATATGATTGCCAATGAGACAACTATCCATCATAGTTCAAATGAAGTGGATGTAAGCAATTAAAGCAACTGTACGGCCTTCAACAATAGGTCTTCTACACTCAAGCTCGAAAACAATGTGTCTTCAGAGGT